ATTAATTTTATATCACCCCAAACCAAACACAACTTTATAAGTAAGCATAACCTCCAAATCAATAGTGATTTCTACATTTTTATTACATTGCAACTAATTATTGCTTTTGCATCAGTGTGATGAAATTTATAAATTTATTGCCATTCCCAGTTGAATTACCTATAGCCTATCATCTTTTCCCCCTCAAAATATTACCATGGATACTTTTATCAAAGATTATGGGTTGCATGCATGTAATCCATGTAGCATCGGAATAGGCCTTAAACGACCGGATTGGCATCGCAACATAGCCTTCTGGTGGCTTTCTGTGCTGCGACGCTTTTTGGGTCAGGATTGGTTAATGGTTACATTAGCACGATGCCAGTTTTTGGCGTTGTAATAGATGTTTAATGACCGACTAACAATATATATAAGAGAAAATGGCATATTCCCACCTGAAGCTTACTGAAATCCTAAGTTGATACCCTTTGTTGCATTTATTCTCAATTCTCACCTTTAAAGTATTATCATTTCCTTTATTTTAATAGATTCTCAACTTTTCACTATAACGCAACGCATGTTAACATGTTGAAGTGCGTCACAGCTTTCTTTGACAGAAGATAGACTCATGTTAGCAAAAAGCGGCTCACGTTAACAACCTCTAAGTCGACAGTTTTTTGCTTTTTCTGACTGATTCCAAGTACCAAAATCATTTCTAAGACCACTGTTGGACTCTCTACAACCTCATCTACAAAACTTATATCTTTACTTGTTGACCTCACTCACCGCTTCTGATCATCTCCAACAGTCACTAACAGTGTTCAGAAAATTTTAAATAAATGCAACTAGGGGTATCAAAATTTCTGATTCAAGCACATGCTTTAGCAAACTATAGATGCTTTCATTAAAATTAATTCTCAAGTTGCAAAGGGGTTTAAATTACAAGTTGTAGTGATTCAAGATGTGGCCAAGCTACCTCTATTCAAGGTACTCATATACTAAATTGAATATCGAGTATAGAACAAACCCATAAAATTTGACGATGTTTCGATGTCGAACTCTTTAATGCCTTTATTTCATTGAGAAATCTTTTCGATTCGATAACTGATCGTATCAGAGAGGCATTTTTTTTACGCTCTAACATCCCCGACGTAACTCTGCTTTGTAAACAATTCCAGATCACCTTCTCCAATACAATTCGCAACATCAAATTATTAGTTGCCCTATGATATCTTCATATGCCATTCATCAGAAGTTGACAATTACCTCTTTCTTTTGTGAGTCATTTTCCTTACTAAGAAAACTACAGATTCAATCACCCCCCAATTGATGAGGATTGCTCCACTGCTAAAAGGATAATCTCCGCTTTTCCTAAACGTGTTGTTTAGTGTGACGGATTTGCAAGGTTTCAATCCACTAGCATTACCACACAGTCCTTTGTTCCCTTGTATGGTTCTGCAGGAGCATCTCGGAAACTTGGTGTGTTAGACTGGACCCTGTAAATCATTATAGACGTCAATGCTTGACAAACCTTCATTTCTTGGAAACAATTTGGTATGAAACCAGAGAGATTATTTGGGGAGATATTGTAACTCTCCTCCCGCTCTTCTAGATTGCGATTTGTATGATATCTCTCCTCTCAGCAAGTGTTACTCAATCGACTCAGATAGATGAGTTAGACTTCCCCAACTGACCTGGAATTTTCTTGGCTAATTGATTGCTTCCCAAGTTCAAGTATGCAATTTCAGTAAGGAAGCTAAACCTTCCAGGGATTGAGTTACTCAATTATTTTGCGATAATCAAGGTACTCAAGTCGGTAAGCAAGCCAAGTTCAACAGGTAACCACCAGAAAGCTGATTTCCATTCAATGTCAAGTTAGTTAAGAAGTCAACTTGCCAAGCCTTTTGGAATCTCTCCAATACATGATTCCGAGAAAAATCAATCATGTAGCTGAGGTGCGTCTCCCATTTCAGGCGGATGCTCCCTGTATGTGATTTCCCGCAATCTTAGGGTGCCCAATTGTGGACACTTTGCCCAAGTAGTGAATTTCACCGTAAAATTTATTGTTGCTGAGATCTATAACTCCATATTAGGATAGATGCCAAATCTTAGATATATTTCCTTCAGCGGTTATTTTCAAAGCGGGGCTCTAACCGAGCTTGTGCATTCGTAGGCTTTTGGGATTGACCTACAAATTGTTGTCACGAACAGAAAGTTTCTAGTACTCTATATTGGCAAAATATTTTGCGGCAAAAAGCCAGTGAAAGGTTATAAACAACAAAGTTTAAACCAACTGTTCAAATTTCCGATTTCTTGAGGAATGGAACCGGAAAGCTCGTTACCACGGAGATATAACCTACTAAGTTACTCAGATTACAAAAGACTAGGAACGAAACCAATCATCTGTTTAAGCTCACCCGAGAGTAGAAAGAGATTTGAAGTTCCTATCTCATGGGGAATGTACCAGAAAGTGTTATTGTTCGAAGAAGCAAAACTTTTATGTTGCTCAAATTACCCAGGGTGGAATAATGCCAGTAAGTTGATTTTGCTAACCATAGATGGGAAAGGAACTTCAAATTTCCTACCTCCTTAGGATGGAGCCATTTAATTTGATTCTCAGCTAGATGAAAGACCTCCAAATTAATAGGAGGCCAATTTGGTGGGATTTTCCAGAAAAACTGATTATTGGACAAATCAAGGTACTGAGTTTGGAGAGGTTTCCAATTTGAGGTGGAATGGTACCAAAGAGGTGGTTACTTGCGTAAGATCAAGATAGCAAGATGCGGAAACGAAGAGAACAAAAATGAGACTGAAGCTACCTTTCTAATTGTATTAATGAGCTGAATACTTTTGATATTTCCTCTGATTGCAAGAAATTCCTGACCACACACATGGCTAATTTGGGTGCATTGCAGGAGAAAGGTCCAGGATGCAGAGAGAACGGTTCCAGTTTTCAAGACTGGCTTTTCCATATGATAAGAGCATGTGCTTCTTCACTAGAATCAAGGCAACATCGAGTAAAGAATGTGACACAGCAACAGGACCAGCAAGACAAGTTGAACTCCATCCTTGTTATGTTATTTACTGGTGTGAGATCAACTGTGTGAGTTTTAAACTCACTGTTTTAGTTTGAAAGTCAAAGAAGATGCTGAGTTCTTGGTTTATTTACTGACTTACCTAAAGCTTGTATAGCTATTTGTTTACCATTACATTAGTAGATTTAGGGTGGCATGGAAGGGTTAACGAACCGGCGATCACCGTTTCGGTAGGAGCAAAACTGGCTCCTAATGGGATCGAATTCTACTTCTGGAAAATTAGAAAAGGAATTCCTAAATCTGGTTCCAGTCCCACAATGGCTGGAATATGGGAACTGAACCAGAACTAGAACTAGGTCTGATATCGATAGGAATTATGGTTGAATTAATTTATATATTGTAAGTGTATATAATTTTTTTTTTAAAATATGACTATTGAAATTAACCAGGTCAAGAACACACTAAACGGAACCTAGTTTCAGCTCCATTCTGGTTCCTTTAAAAACTGTTAAGTAGTCGGAACGGACTTTCACTCCTATAAATATCATTGTTTAAATATAAATAGATCCATCGGTTTGATTGGTTGATCCTAGTATATCTAATCCAGTTATAACATTGCCAAGTGGTTGACCGGTTTAAACTGACAGAATGGTACCGAATCATCAGTTCAACCATTGGGTTAGAGAACCGTGGCGAAACGGAATCCTAATTCCTAAAACTAAATCGTAAATTCTATTCTTCAATTTCATATCTTCTTCTTCAATTTATTAACCTGCCTTAATCTAACTGTTTGTCTTTACAGTTGCGTTCAATTTTTTCATCCCACCTAAACTGGCTGCTGGGCGATGAATTTTCTAGGACAGCCTGAAAAAGATTGAAACTTGAAGAGATAGATTTGTCTTATTTAACTGTAGTCGGTGGTTGTGATATCGATGAGGGAAGGTCTAACACAGGTCATCACGTTGAGGTGTAAGAGAGGGATTAGAGACAAAAGGCGAGGAATTCAATTACGTTGTAATGTGAACACTTTCATTTTTTGTGTAGTTGATGACAGAGGTTTCTGCAAAAGAAAGAAGTATCAGCGGCTAAAGAGGGATTGGAATTTGGTATAACATCCAAATTCACGCGTGGCAAAAAAATTCGCGATGAAGAATCTGAAGGAGAACGTGAAGGCTAGGACACTGCCGCGGTGCAAATGCCTATTATAAATTTAGTGGGTTGTTGTTTTTAGTTATTTCCAGTTAGATATGAGTTTTAGGATTATATGTTGTTCTTTTTATTTTGAGTTGATTAGGGACAGTGTATATTTGTGAGGTTATCATTCCTTCAATCATGTTTAGTGGGAAATAGCTCTATACCCTATTATTAACAATTCAACCGAAAGGTCTAACGTAACTACATATGAACATGTTGAAAGTGGAAGTGATAGTAACTCCAATCATGAGGTACAAGAGGATCCAAACTCCCAAACATTGAAAGAAAAGGAAACCAATTTAGAGGCTAATGCCTTCTGGTTGGCTCAAGCCAGAGCCAAGCTATTATGTATGAACTTCTTGGTTGGAGTGGCTGTGGTTTTATTTCTGCGGTATTTCCTGGGCGTTGTAACTGTTAATGGTTTCATAAAGCTCTTGGTCTCTTTGCTGCAATAAGCCCTGCAGATGTTGGGGCTAATTAACTTTGAAGAAACATGTATCTATAACTTATTAATATATATGCAAGAAACACAGATTGGTTTAATTATGTGTTTTATGGATCTTATGATATGATATAACAAATGCAACATCACTGAATTGGATATGAATACTTACAATTTATCTTAATAAATTTACCACTCCTTACTATAACAAACTTCTAAACTAAACTTCGGAAATCCCTTAAAAAACTTTACAAACCCCTTTTACAAACTCTTACTAAGTAAACACATTACACATTACATTAGCTTGCGATAAGAGCAAAATTCGTTTTAGATGCCTACTACTACTAAATCTAATATGTATGGTGCTCACTCACTATCCGCATAGTAGGTCTAAATTCTGGATTCTTGTCTAAGCATAAAAGGGCCACCTCCAGGATACATTTCAGCTTGTCCTGAACTTCAAGCGATGGTGCTGGAAGCCTAGAGTCTAACACATCACTAAGCTGTATAGACATATTGGGAGGCACATTAGATGAAAATAAGGAAAGAAAATCTCCTGGATGATTCCCTTTGATCACTTCCAATGTTAAAACTCCAAAGCTATACACATCGCACTTTTCGGTTATCTTCCTTGTGTAAGCAAACTCTGCAAAATAAAAGATTTAAATATATCTAAGTGAGTGAATATCATTTCTAATTTTCTATAGTCCTCCCTTGCGGATGCCCACATTATGTTTAAAGACGAACATCAATAGTTGACATTGGAAATAATATTAGCTAGGATCAGCTAACAATTAGTTGGTGCCAACTAATATTAAAAGACAAACCCTTGTTTGTTTAACTTTTCAAACTTTTTCTATTCTACTATCCTATCATAAGCAATAAAAAACGTGTTTGTTTTAATATTGACTATCAGTTCAAAATTTAATTATATTCTATTCAACTCAAAACATTTAACAATTACCTTTCACAATAAAAGTTTATAAATTAACAAAAACACCCCCACCCATCCAAGTCACAGTCGCCCGTCGGCAACCATTGCCAGCCGTCGGCATCGGAACAATGCATTATCGGGGGATTTGGCCGATCATGTGCCGATCTGGACGTTTTTAACCAGATCCATCATGTATCTAGCCGGAAACGGCCAAATCTACGGCCAGAGATCTAACCGTTGACGACCATATTTTGCAAAATTTGGCCGTTTACGACGACCAGATTATGGTCGTAGATCTGGCCGTTTCCAACCAGATACATGGTGGATCTAGCCAGAAATTCCAGATCAATGCTCGACTGGTCAGATCCAATCGATCGTGCGCCATTCCAGTGACCGTCGACCACAATCCATCAATGGTGGCCAACTGTCGGCAATTGGTTGGGTGGGTGGGTAAAGGTGTTTTTGTTAATTTATAAAACTTTTATTGTTGGAGGGTCTTTTTGTTAACACTTAAAATTGTGTTTTTGTAACATTAGGCAACATTAGTGAACAAGGCCGGATTTTAATTAAATAAAAAAAAAAAAAATTTCAATCACCATTATATGAAAATAATAATAATAATATAAGGTTAAAAGGAATAAACGAGATACCCGGTGCAATATATCCATATGTGCCAGCAAGCTCACTCCAGTTTGATGACTCTTGTTTGAGAAACTTGGCAGTTCCAAAGTCTGAAACATGAGCTTCGTATTCTTGATCCAATATCACATTCTTGCTTGATATGTCTCGATGAACAACTGGTGGGCAACAATCATGATGCATGTAAGATAATGCATGTGCTACTCCTTTTATAACATTTATTCTCTTCCTCCAATCTAGTTCTACGGCTGTATTAGTGCTCTTCAANTGCATGATCTCATACAAGAGATGGGTTGGGATATTGTTCGCCAAGAATCCAGAAAAGAGCCTGGCAACCGTAGCAGGTTGTGGGATCCTCAGGATATATTTAACTTATTCAAGAAAAATACAGTAAGAGCTGAATGCACTAAAGTCCTCCATGGTTATGCAATAGCTGCTTAATCACAGTATGATTTACATATACTATACTTTTTCTTCTCAAAATTTACTATGCTAAACCAATACTCTGTTTTGTTATCAGGGGACTCAATCGGTTGAAGGCATATTCCTTGACTTGTCAAAAGTAAGTGAGCTACACTTAAGTTCAGATGCCTTCACGAGGATGCATAAACTTAGGCTTCTTAAATTATATAGCTCCCACTATGGCAAAGGCGAAATAGAAGATGATAAGGTGCACCTTTGTCAAGGCCTTGAATTTCTTTCTGATGAGCTGAGATATCTCCATTGGCATAGATACCCTTTAAGATCCTTGCCATGTAAGTTTAACCCGGAGAACCTTGTTGAGCTTGACATGCATCACAGCAATGTTGAATATCTTTGGAAGGAAAAACAGGTGAATATGATATTTATGTATGTTTCTTTGTTTCGGACATATTTTAGAATTTGTGGATGCTAATTCATCCAGCCATTTCTGTTTTGTTGCAGCATCTTGTAAATTTAAGACGGATTGATCTGAGTTACTCTCAGCACTTAACGGAGATCCCTGACCTCACATTGGCTCCGAACCTTGAGGTTATTACTCTAGATGGTTGTTCCCATCTCACCAAGTTTCCTGGGATTTCGTGGAACATAAAAAAGCTGCATTTAGGCCATACTGCAATTGAAGAGGTTCCCTCAGCCATCGAGTGTCTTAATAACCTTGACTCCCTATTGCTAATCAACTGCACCAGGCTAAAGAATCTTCCAAGGAGTATTCAGAATTTGACGACTCTTATGCACCTTGATCTCCGTGGTTGTTCAAACATCACGGAGTTCCCAGAGGTTTCAGGAGATATAAAGTATTTATATTTGAATGAGACTGCAATTCAAGAATTACCATCTTCAGTTGAGTATCTTACTAAACTAAATACATTGAGTCTTGGAAATTGCACAAACCTAGAAAGTGTTCCAAGCGGCCTTTTTAAGCTGAAATGTCTTGAAGTTCTTTATCTCTTTGGCTGTTCAAAATTGGGGAATTTACCTGAAATCTCAGAGTCTATGGAAAAGTTAGAGTTACAAGGAACCGCCATAAAAGAGTTACCTTACTCAATTGAACGTCTTACTCAACTTTCTTTGTTGCACTTGGGGGACTGCAAAAACCTTACAAGTTTGCCAAATAACTTCTTTCAGTTGACATCACTTTCATCTCTTCGTCTTTCTGGTTTGTCTGGTATTGATAAATTGCTGGACAACTTGCCATTATCTCTATTTTCAGGTTTGTGCTCTTTAGTTGAATTAAATCTCAATGACTGCAACCTGGTAGAATTGCCAAGTGCTCTGAGTTGCTTATCCTCCTCAGAGTATTTAGATCTAACTGGAAATAATTTTGAGAGCCTGAGCCTCAAACCATTTTCTTGTCTTAAAAGCCTTGACGTTAGCTATTGCAAGCGACTTCAATCTATACTAGAGTTTCCATCTCCGTTGCATCTGACAGATTTCCAGGCACATGAATGAGAGAGTAGAATAGTACATACTGCGTCATCTCTCAAGTTCTCTTCCACTGAAGAGGTGGATAACGATATTACAAACTAACTCCTAAAATATGGAGAAGATATGATTTGATTTCAATATACTTGTTTGGGGCCCAAAAAATCTACCATAATATTACACCACTCCAACTCCAAGTTGATTGTCCTATGTTTAACACCTGGACACTATTGTCTTCTTTCTTTATATTATTTTAATTTTAACATAAATTTGGCTTCTCGAAACCTGAAGTGTTAATATATACAAACAGCTTGAGTCTTGGAACATGGAGTCTCACTAGCCGCTAGCCAGATTTCCTCCCGCTTGCATAAGTTCACTTATCATTAGAAGCTGGATCATTGCAAAGATTTGTATTTCTTCACAATATCCTCACCTATTAAAGGCTATTGGTCCAGTGACCAACAGTACCACATGCTATGCTCTTTAATGAGCTTCATTCTGTTCGTGTATTCTTGTGATCTTCATTACTTAATGCCTTGAATACCATTAGTTTTTCTTGCATGCATGTACTGAAAGCCATGTATAAATGTAGCTTCAAGCTTGGATCTTAGCCTGATACATGTAGCTAAGAAAGATATATCATGAAGTTACAGTGTGAGGTTTGTGAGAAGGCAGAGGCAGAGGTGCTGTGTTGTGCAGATGAAGCTGTATTATGTCGACGATGCGATGAGAAGGTGCATGCGCGAACAAGCTATCCAGAATTACTGACCCATGAAATTTCGTAATAATTAATTGTCGTAACTGACTTGAGTAATAAATTCTAATTTCTAATAAGTTCGTTTATTTATTAACACATGAAAACTTTTTAAGATCACCGAATAATAAATAGATACTATCACTTTCAATAGATTTCAGTAAGCATCTTTCGACCATAACACGTTTAGGTAATTTGGGAGGCGTTGGTTTAAGGTAATGGAAGATCATGGGGTTATGTAAATTTTATATTATTTGATTACTATTTTTATTGTCTATAGTATATAAATTTCAATATTTTTGTATTATCAATAGTTGTTACTGTTGGTAATATTAAGATAACTAATATACTCTATTTCTTAGGTATATTAAGATTATTAAAGTAATTTTATTTTTGTTACAATTATCCCTTATTATAAAAATTTTAGCTATAATGCCCCTATTTAAAAAATTTACATTATATACCATTTCAATTTAACCCTTGTTTAATTAAATTTTTAGACAATAATGCCCTTATATTTAAAACAATTTACAGACTACCATTGTCACCTAGCCACCACCGCCGACATGTGGCCCAACCACCACTGTCGCCGCTAAAAAGTTATCGAAGTCTCTAAAAAGACCAGGTTAGGTGGGAGGCTCCGAGAGGCTTCATATGGCCATTTTTGGCCATATTGATGGCTGAAAATGGCCATATCAGGCCGTTAACGGTCAAATCTATTCTTGGCGATAGATATGGTCCTTAACAGCCAAGTCCATGTCGTATATAGCTAGATTCTCGCCCAGATCTAGCCGTAATAGGCCAAGGATCTGGTCGTTAACGACTAGATCTGGCTTGACATGGTCGTTTTCGACCATCAATATGGCCAAAAATGGTCATATCGGAGCTTTGTGTCCCGGTGACTACCACGATGGCTTTCGGAGATTTCTAGTGGTGGTTTACGGTGGCAGCAAGGGTGGGGGTGATTTCGTCATAAACTAAAGTTTTATATAGCAGAAGTTTTAGTTAAATCTGAAATATTGGAGGTTAAAAAAATTATTCAAAAATTATATAAATTAATATTATTTAATATTTAAAAGAATAATTTAGTATTTTAACCCCTAACCAAACAATTATATAACATACTCACCAATTAACTAAATACATTTTTATAAAGTTTTACGGTAATTTTTCAGGTAATATAACATTATATCCAAACGCTGCTTTACGTAATCAATACTTAGTAGGATTGAGTAACGACATATTCCCACCCAAGGTTTGCACAAACCCCAGTTATTACCACTGATTTCATTTATTCCAGATTCTCACCCTTAAAGTAACAGTGTTATGAATTTTTAGGGTTTAGAGGGTACAATTACCATAATGCCCTTAACCCTAAATTAATTAAATTATGTTTAAACCCCTAAAATAGTAGAATACAAACTTACCATTTTATTTTCAAATTATATCAAACACCCTCGATCACTATACACCCCTCACCGGAAACAGCCCGATCTAGGCTGTTTCCGACGACGTAAAAACCGCTTGGTCACCTCCATCACCTTCCCAGTAGTCCGTCTCCAAAACCCCTCGGGTTCCCGACTCATTTGCCCCTCCAATCGCTGGCACCGTTAGGCTTAGGGTTTCGGTGTTCTTCCACCGGATTCCTGTCGATTTCGGCTGTGAAAATCTAATTGGACACCACCATGCAACCACCGTCCCCAAATCTATAAAACCTCTATGCCCCAGCAAACCGTTTCATCGTCATTCCGCGGCCACCAGTTCATGTTCATCGGCCCTTTTTCGTTGCCGTGGCCGGAGATCGGAGAGTGATGAGGGGCTGTGAATGGTATTTTTTGTAGAGGAGGATGGGGGTTCAAATAGTGGTGACTAGGGTGATTTGGTGGAAGAATCACCGAAAAAGAGCGAAAAACGTTGGAAACGACGGCTGCTAACGTGGCCCAGAGGACTGCTAGAGCGGCGGTCTGCTAATGTGCGCCGCCCATGTAAATGACCATTTACCCCTTTACCGTTATATCAAACGTTTTTTTCTTCACTTAAGGGTGGGAATCTAGAATAATAAAACCAGTGGTACTAACTTGAGATTTCGTCAACCATGGGTGGGAACATGTCTTTTACTCTAGGTTTGACACAAAGTGAAAAGGATTGCCTACTGGACATTACTTTATCACCTAATTTTATGGACCCGAATATGATTCGCTTCTCATTACTTTTGCAAATGACATGAAAGTCGACCCCATTACATTATTGCTTTTCATATTGGTTTCATGTTTACTCGTGAGGGGTTTCTGATTTCCCCAGAATCTCAGTTGCTAGTTTTCTAATTAAAGTCCTGTACTTGTACCCGAAAAATTCTGTAAGAACATGGCCGCTTCTTCTTCTGCACCTTCAACAGTAATGGTGAATGGAAGTATGATGTATTCCTCAGCTTTAGAGGTGAAGACACTCGCAATAATTTACGAGCCATCTTTATGCCCGTTGTCTAGGAAAAAATCGAAACCTTCATAGATTATGAGCTTAGAGAGGAGATGAAATCTCTCCCGCACTCTTAAAGCAATCGAAGGTCTAGCCTTTCGATAGTAATTCCTCCGAAAACTATGCTTCTCTTCTTGGTGTTTGGATAACTTGAGAAGATAATTGAATGCAAGAACAAAAAGGGACAGATCATGTACCAGTTTTTTATCATGTTATTCCTTCTGATGTAAGGAAACAATCTGGGAGCTATGCAAAAGCATTTGCTAAACATGAAAAACAATTGAAGAAAAAAAAGAGAAGTTGAAAAGTTGAGGGCAACTTTGACACAGGTGGCCAATCTATCTGGTTGGCATATACAGCAGCATGATGGGTACTCTAATTAATTTTGTTCTCTCTTATTCTTGTATTTCTAGCCATGCTTACTTTGTTTTGGATTTTTACTTTACCATGTTGAGGTCAACAACATCAAGATCTGATTTTTATTCTGTCATTTCAATTAAATGAAATTGATTGAGTTCAAGGATTGTGCCCTATGCATGCCAATAGTAAGATGAGTACAGCTTGAAGAGGTTTTCTGTATACATGCAATTGAAGAAAGTTTTGAATGTAAATTTTTTCTAGTCATAATTGGGTTTTTGTGGTTGGAGTAATTTCTCTTACTCTGGAAACTTCTTGGTTACTTATGACCTTGTCGCGATTGTTACTGTCCGTTGCATATTTTGACTGAAATAATCTCTTGCTAATTTCTTGGTAGTAATACCATCGATTATATTTTGTTATCAAGTAATTTGATGCTGTAGTGTGTCAGCAACCTGCAATATGGTTCTTTACTCTTCACTTTTTGATTCCAAAGTGTTCTTAATATCTGGCAGATCAGAATCAAACTTTGTGGAAAACATGGTTAAAGATGTTTTGAAGAAGCTGAATCATATGTCCTCAAGCGATTTTGATGGCTTGATTGGAAGGAATCACGCTTAGAAAGAGTTGAATCACTATTAGGTGTTGGTAGTTTAAATGTTCGTTTTGTTGGAATTTGGGGTATGGGTGGTTAGGTAAAACCATTGCACGAGCTTTGTTTGATCGTATCGCCAATCAATTTGAAGGCTGCTGCTTTCTTGCAAATGTAAGAGAAGAATCAGCTAAATTATTGAATCGTTTACAAGAAGAAGTTCTTTTTCAAACACTAGAGATGGAGATCCAACTACAAGTGCTCCTAGTTTAGGACTCACTTTCACAAGAACAGACTTCGCCGTAAAAAGGTTCTTATTGTTCTAGATGTGTAGACAATTCACACAGTTAAAATTTTTAGCTGGAATCAAGTTGGTTTGGTCATGGAAGTAGAATCATTATAACATCAAGAGATCAACAAGTGCTCAAGACATGTGTTGTTGAATGTATAACTTGAGGAATTAAATTATCACGAGTCTCTTCAACTCTTCAGTTTAATGCCTTTAAGCAAAACCATCCTCAGAAAATTATATGGAGCTGTCAAGTCGGGTGATATTTATGCTCAAGGCATTCCATTGGCTCTTAAAGTTTTGGGTTGCTTTCTATTTGGAAGGAGTAAGCGAGATTGGAAAGTGCATTAAATAAACTTGAAAAGTATCCGAACATGGACATCCAAAATGTATTGAAATATTTATGATGGACTTGATGACAAGAGAAAGAAATATTTCTGATATTGCATGTTTCTTCAAAGGGAGGATAAAGATCGTTTAACAACTAATATATTGTTGTGGCTTTTGCACAGAAATTGGAATAAGTGTTCTCATCGACAATGTGTCTAAAACTGTTGTGAGCAATTTGTACTAATGCATGTTGTGAAGGGGACTTTAAGGACTAGTAAATGGTCAAAAGTCCTTGATTTTAAACAAAGAATCCATACGACTGACACTTGTTTAACATTAACAGGTGCCTGTGGAAAAAATGAGCAGAATAACCTAGTCCTGTACTAATTTATGAATTGAAAATCTCTAATTTTTTTATGTTTGTATTGTAAATTTAGGTGCCGCATCTAGTACAACTGAAATTACCTACATGTCAAGACAACATGAATTTTCAAACCATTTATGCGTAATATCAGATTTCAGTGGCTGCATTCAGTCAGAAGAATGTACTGATTTGGTGTTCTTTGCGGAAGGTTTTGGTTTTCTTGCTAATTTGTGAGACAGGGAATTTGATAAGGAAAATTTTATTACATTATGAAATTTTTTAACAATACATTACATATTGCATCATCCACACAACAAAACAAAGCTCAAATACACGCATTAGAAACCTTATTCTCCAATAAACAAGTGAGACACTGACACCCAATTGCTCTCTCTTCACCCGTATTTGAAAATTTCTGAAGAAAAACCTCTAAAGCTCTTGCTTGGCTTCACTCTTGAGTTTGGCAGGTTCACCTTCTCCTCCAGCAATGCTGACAGTCCTAGGACCTTTAATTTTATCAGGAGACAGCTTTGCCAAGGACAATGTCAACACACCATTCTCAAGCTTAGCCTGAACTGAATCCAAATCCACGTTGTCAGGCAACTTAAACTGCCTCCAAAATTTGCCATAGGATCTCTCCACTCTGTGCCAATGATCACCCTTCTTCTCCTCCTCTTTCTTCCTCTCTCCACTAACTCTCAACACCCGGTTCTCCTCCACTTCAATCTTCAGCTCCTCCTTCTTCAATCCTGGAACATCCAGCATTATCACATGACCTTCTGGTGTTTCCTTCCAGTCTACTCTGGCTGGTGAGAGTGCCGTGTTCTCATCCCTGTCAATCCCAAATGGGATTTGTTCCAGCATCCGAAACGGGTCCGGAAACCGGTCTGCCCAGAGATCAGACAGTAGGCTTCCTGGAGTGTCCGTAAATGGCAGTAGCAAAGAGCCATTTGATGAATCAACCAGACATAGCAAAGATATTATCAGTGAGCAGATGACTAAGGGCTGTTGCCTCATCTTTCTCTTGAAGCTTCAAGTGTGGTTTTTGTATAGTTTTTGTTTGTAAATGAGAGGGGCTTGGAAGATATTTTGACACTCAGATATTCAGATGATTTGTTTGTACAATTTTAGAGATGGGGTCTGCCATTTATATGAGTTAAGGTTGATGGTTGTTGAAATGATAGATTGGTGTGGATAAATGGAGAAGTTTCCAGGGAGTTTTACGTGTTAATGAGGTGGAAATATGGGCTAAATGTGAAGAGGTTGCAAGACTCTTCTTACAAGTTCCAGAGACTTCAAGGATCTTGCTGACAGGTTTGTCCTTTTCCCACCCAAGGTTTGCCTTAATGATATTTTCCCACCTAAAAAATTTTAAAATATCATTTTTCATCCAAAATTAATATTCTATTACTATCTAAAGCCGATTTTGATAGCTAAAATTCTCTCTTTCACCATCATTTAAAACTCTAATATTCTCTCTACAAAACATTTTTTATTCCAATACCTTATTTCTCACAGATTACCGACCACTGTAGAGCTAGAGTTTCCTATTCTTAACTGATTTTTTGTTACGAATATTCAAACAATCACCTCTATTTGATTCATCGGCTTCTACTTTACAAAACTTCTCTTATCCTGACTTTTTGTAACTCATCAAACATCAGTTTAAAAAGTAAAGTGTATTTTGGATATTAAAACGGAATATAAATTTTGGATGGAAAAGTGATATTTTGAAACTTTTTGGATGGAAAAGTGTCATTAAGGCAAACCTTGGGTGGGAAAAAGTCGCTTGCCCTTTTAAATAATATCTCATAATTTTTATTTATATATTTGTGTAAAACTTTATTTTAAACTAGTGAAGATATTTAACTTCTTTTATTATTTATTTATATATTGGGCTAGATATATGCTAGCTCACCTTTGAGTAAATAGTAATCGAATTGAGAATGGATGTAGTGGCCCGTGGCCGAAGGGTGATAACAAGAATCATATCGGCCTAATCTTTTAAGAGACCAAATGCGACTTTGAAGGTAGGCCCAACATAACTAGCACAATGAAGAAATGGATGGTATTGGGTAAACTAAAGTCATATTCTGCTAGTATTAGTAACAAAGAAGTTAATAAACAGAAAAATGGTCAAAAAGTTTGGCAGTCGGTGCATTGAAGATAAACAACACCACAAAGCCTGTGTATGGGGATGGGCAGGCCATATCACTGACAAAGCAGGAGAACCCAATTGACTTTTTACTACATTTCTCAAAGTGGTCCCATTAATTCTTCACAATTCAGCACTTTCAATCTATCCTATCAGTGAATGTGATGCAAGTTGCCGCCATGCATGCTGCTTGATAACTGCATCATGGACAGTCTGGTAAAAGACAAATGAGAGAGTAGAATAGTACATAATTCTCGTCATTCTCTCAAGTCTCAATTCCACTTGAAGAGGTGGATAACGATATTACAAACTAACTCCTAAAATATGGAGAAGATATGATTTGATTTCATATATACTTGTTATTGGGTCCCAAAAAATCTACCATAGATATTACACCACTCCATACTCCATAGTTGGATTGTCCTATGTATTAACACCTGGACACTATTGTCTTCTTTCTTTATATTATTTTAATTTTAACATAAATTTGGCTTCTCGAAACCTGAAGTGTTAATATATACAAACAGCTTGAGTCTTGGAGACATGGAGTCTCACTAGCCAGCTAGCCAGATTTCCTCCCGCAGTGCATAAGTTCACTTATCATTAGAAAGCTGGATCATTGCAAAGACTTGTATTTCTTCACAATATCCTCACCTATTAAAGGCTATTGGTCCAGTGATCCAACAGTACCACATGCTATGCTCTTTAATGAGCTTCATTCTGTTCTGATATTCTTGTGATCTTCATTACTTAATGCCTTGAATACCATTAGTTTTCTTGCATGCATGTACTGAAAGCCATGTATAAATGTAGCTTCAAGCTTGGATCTTAGCCATAGATACATGTAGCTGAAGAAGAGATATATCGATGAAGTTACAGTGTGAGGTTTGTGAGAAGGCAGAGGCAGAGGTGCTGTGTTGTGCAGATGAAGCTGTATTATGTCGACGATGCGATGAGAAGGTGCATGCAGCGAACAAGCTATCCAGAATTACTGACCCATGAAATTTCGTAATAATTAATTGTCGTAACTGACTTGAGTAATAAATTCTAATTTCTAATAAGTTCGTTTATTTATTAACACATGAAAAGACTTTTTAAAGATCACCGAATAATAAATAGATACTATCACTTTCAATAGATTTCAGTAAGCATCTTTCGACCATAACACGTTTAGGTAATTTGGGAGGCGTTTGGTTTAAGGTAATGGAAGATCATTGGGGTTATGTAAATTTTATATTATTTGATTACTATTTTTTATTGTCTAGTAATATAAAATTTCAATAATTTTGTATTATCAATAGTTGTTACTGTTGGTAATATTTAAGATAATCTAATTAACTCTATTTTCTTAGGTATAGTAAGATTATTAAAGTAATTTTATTTTTGTTACAATTATATCCCTTATTAATAAAAATTTTAGCTAATAATGCCCCTATTTAAAAATAAATTTACATTAATATACCATTTCAATTTTACCCTTGTTTAATTAAATTTTTAGACAATAATGCCCTTATATTTAAAACAATTTACAGACTACCATTGTCACCTAGCCACCACCGCCGACAGTGGGCCAACCACCACTGATCGCCGCTAAAAAGTTATCGAAGTCTCTAAAAAGACCAAGGTTAGGTGGGAGGCTCCGAGAGGCTTCGATATGGCCATTTTTGGCCATATTGATGGCTGAAAATGGCCATATCAGGCCGTTAACGGTCAAATCTATTCTTGGCGAAATAGATATGGTCCTTAACAGCCAAGTCCATGGTCGTTAATAGCTAGATTTCGCCCAGATCTAGCCGATAATGGCCAAGGATCTGGTCGTTAACGACTAGATCTGGCTTGACATGGTCGTTTTCGACCATCAATATGGCCAAAAATGGTCATATCGGAGCTTTGTGTCACGGTGAGCTACTCACGATGGCTTTCGGAGATTTCTAGTGGTGGTTTACGGTGGCAGCAAGGGTGGGGGTGATTTCGTCATAAACTAAAGTTTTATATAAGCAGAAGTGTTTTAGTTAAATCTGAAATATTGGAGGTTAAAAAAATTATTCAAAAATTAATAATAAATTAATATTATATTAATATTTAAAAAAGAATAATTTAGTAATTTAACCCCTAACCAAACATATTAATATAACATACTCACCAATTAACTAAATACATTTTTATAAAGTTTTACGGTAATTTTTCAGGTAATATAACATTATATCCAAACGCTGCTTTACAGTAATCAATACTTAGTAGGATTGAGTAAACGACATATTCCCACCCAAGGTTTGACAAAACCCCAAGTTAGTACCACTGATTTCATTTATTCCAGATTCTCACCCTTAAAGTAACAGTGTTATGAATTTTTAGGGTTTAGAGGGTACAATTACCATAATGCCCTTAACCCTAAATTAATTAAAATTATGTTTTAACCCCTAAAATAGTAGAATTACAAACTTACCATTTTATTTTCAAATTATATCAAAAACACCCTCGATCACTATACACCCTCACCGGAAACAGCCCGATCTAGGCTGTTTCCGACGACGTAAAACCGCTTGGTCACCTCCATCACCTTCCCAGTAGTCCGTCGTCCAAAACCCCTCTGGTTCCCGACTCATTTGCCCCTCCAATCGCTGGCACCGTTAGGCTTAGGGTTTCGGTGTTCTTCACCGGATTCCTGTCGATTTCGGCTGTGAAAATCTAATTGGACACCACCAATGCAACCACCGTCCCCAAATCTATAAAACCTCTATGTCCCCAGCAACCGTTTCATCGTCATTCGCCGGCCAACAGTTCATGTTCATCGGCCCTTTTTCGTTGCCGTGGCCGGAGATCGGAGAGTGATGAGGGGCTGTGAATGGTATGTTTTGTAGAGGGGAGGATGGGGGTTCAAATAGTGGTGACTAGGGTGATTTTGGGTGGAAGAATCACCGAAAAAGAGCGAAAAACGTTGGAAACGACGGCTGCTAACGTGCGCCAGAGGACTGCTAGAGGCGGCGGTCTGCTAATGTGCGCCGCCCATGTAAAATGACCAATTTACCCCTTTACCGTTATATCAAACGTTTTTTCGTCACTTTAAGGGTGGGAATCTAGAATAAATAAAACCAGTGGTACTAACTTGAGATTTCGTCAAACCATGGGTGGGAACATGTCTTTTACTCTAGTAGGATTTGACACAAAGTGAAAAGGATTGCCTACTGGACATTACTTTATCACCTAATTTTATGGACCCGAATATGATTCGCTTCTCATTACTTTTGGCAAATGACATGAAAAGTCGACCCCATTACATTATTGCTTTTCATATTGGTTTCATGTTTTACCTCGTGGAGGGTTTCTGATTTCCCCAGAATCTCAGTTGCTAGTTTTCTAATTAAGTCCTGTACTGTACCCGAAAAATTCTGTAAGACATGGCCGCTTCTTCTTCTGCACCTTCAAACAGTAATGGTGAATGGAATATGATGTATTCCTCAGCTTTAAGGTGAAGACACTCGCAATAATTTTACGAGCCATCTTTATGCCGCTTTGTCTAGGAAAAAAATCGAAACCTTCATAATTATGAGCTTAGGAAGGAGATGAATCTCTCCCGCACTCTTAAAAGCAATCGAAGAGTCTAGCCTTTCGATAGTAATTCTCTCCGAAAACTATGCTTCTTCTTCTTGTGTTTTGGATGAACTTGAGAAGATAATTGATTCAAGAACAAAAAGGACAGATCATTGTACCAGTTTTTTATCTTTTTCCTTCTGATGTAAGGAACAATCTGGGAGCTATGCAAAGCATTTGCTAAACTAAAAACAATTGAAGAAAACAAAAGAGAAGGTGAAAAGTTGAGGGCAACTTGACACAGGTGGCCAATCTATCTGGTTGGCATATACAGCAGCATGATGGGTAACTCTAATTAATTTTGTTCTCTCTTATTCTTGTATTTCTAGCCATGCTTACTTTGTTTTGGATTTTTACTTTACCATGTTGAGTCAACAGGACATCAAGATCTGATTTTTTATTCTGTCATTTCATTAAATGAAATTGATTGAGTTCAAGGATTGTGTCCTGCATCCAATAGTAGATGAGTACAGCTTGAGAGGTTTTTCTGTTACATGCAATTGGAAGAAAGTTTTGAATTGTAATTTTTTTAGTCATAATTGGTTTTTGTGGTTGGTAGTAATTCTCTTACTCTGGAAACTTCTTGGTTACTTATGACCTTGTCGCGATTTTTACTGTCCGTTGCATATTTTGACTGAAATAATCTCTTGCTAATTTCTTGTGTAGTAATACCATCGATTTATATTTGTTATCAAGTAATTTGATGCTGTAGTAGTGTCAAGCAACCTGCAATATGGTTCTTTATCTCTTCACTTTTGATTCCAAAGTGTTCTTCATATCGGGCAGATCAAATCAGAACTTGTGGAAAACTTGTTAAAGATGTTTTGAAGAAGCTGAATCATATGTCCTCAGCGATTTTGATGGCTTGATTGGAACTGAATCACGCTTAGAAAGAGTTGAATCACTATTAGGGTTTTGGTATGTTAAATGTTCGTTTGTTTGAATTTGGGGTATGGGTGGTATAGGTAAACAACCATTGCACGAGCTTTGTTTGATCGTATCGCCAATCAATTTGAAGGCTGCTGCTTTCTTGCAAATGTAAGAGAGAATCACTATATGGATTGAATCGTTTACAAGAAAGTTCTTTTCAAAACACTGAGGATGGAGATCCAACTACAAGTGCTCCTAGTTTAGGACTCACTTTCACAAGAACAGACTTCGCCGTAAAAAGGTTCTTATTGTTCTAGTGAGATGTAGACAATTCACAGCAGTTAAAATTTTTAGCTGGAGATCAAGTTGGTTTGGTCATGGAGTAGAACATTATAACATCAAGAGATCAACAAGTGCTCAAGACATGTGTTGATGAAATGTATAAGCTTGAGAATTAAATTATCACGAGTCTCTTCAACTCTTCAGTTTAAATGCCTTTAAGCAAAACCATCCTACAGAAAATTATATGGAGCTGTCATCGGTGATATATTAGCTCAAGGCATTCCATTGGCTCTTAAAGTTTGGGTTGCTTTCTATTTGGAAGGAGTAAGCGAGATTGGGAAAGTGCATTAAATAAACTTGAAAAGTATCCGAACATGGACATCCAAAATGTATTGAGAATAAGTTTATGTGGACTGATGACGAAGAGAAAAAATATTTCTTGATATTGCATTGTTCTTCAAAGGGGAGGATAAAGATCGTTTAAACTTATTAGATGTTGTTGTGGCTTTTGCACAGAAATTGGAATAAGTGTTCTCATCGACAAGTGTCTCATAACTTTGTGAGCAATTTGTTACTAATGCTGATCTCATACAAAAGATGGGTTGGGATATTGTTCGCCAAAATCCAGAAAAGAGCCTGGCAACCGTAGCAGGTTGTGGGATCCTCAGGATATATTTAACTTATTCAAGAAAAATACAGTAAGAGCTGAATGCACTAAAGTCCTCCTGGTTATGCAATAGCTGCTTAATCACAGTATGATTTACATATGCTATACTTTTCTTCTCAAAATTTACTATGCTAAACCAATACTCTGTTTTTTATCAGGGGACTCAATCGGTTGAAGGCATATTCCTTGACTTGTCAAAAGTAAGTGAGCTACACTTAAGTTCAGATGCCTTCACGAGGATGCATAAACTTAGGCTTCTTAAATTATATAGCTCCCACTATGGCAAAGGCGAAATAGAAGATGATAAGGTGCACCTTTGTCAAGGCCTTGAATTTCTTTCTGATGAGCTGAGATATCTCCATTGGCATAGATACCCTTTAAGATCCTTGCCATGTAAGTTTAACCCGGAACCTTGTTGACGTGACATGCATCACAGCAATGTTGAATACCTTTGGAAGAAAAAACAGGTGAATATGATATTTATGTATGTTTCTTTGTTTCGGACATTTTTGGAATTTGTGGATGCTACATCTCCAGCCATTTCTGTTTTGTTGCAGCATCTTGTAAATTTAAGACGGATTGATCTGAGTTACCTCAGCACTTAACGGAGATCCCTGACCTCACATTGGCTCCGAACCTTGAGGTTATTACTCGAGATTGTTTCCCATCTCACCAGTTCCTGGGATTTCGTGGAACATAAAAAAGCTGCATTTAGGCCATACTGCAATTGAAGAGGTTCCCTCACATCGAGTGTCTTAATAACCTTGACTCCCTATTGCTAATCAACTGCACCAGGCTAAAGAACTTCCAAGGAGTATTCAGAATTTGACGACTCTTATGCACCTTGATCTCCGTGGTTGTTCAAACTCACGGAGTTCCCAGAGGTTTCAGGAGATATAAGTATTTATATTTGAATAAGACTGCAATTCAAGAATTACCATCTTCAGTTGAGTATCTTACTAACTAAATACATTGAGTCTTGGAAATTGCACAAACCTAGAAAGTGTTCCAAGCGGCCTTTTTAAGCTGAAATGTCTTGAAGTTCTTTATCTCTTTGGCTGTTCAAAATTGGGGAATTACTGAAATCTCGGAGTCTATGGAAAAGTTAGAGACACTTGAGTTACAAGGAACCGCCATAAAAGAGTTACCTTACTCAATTGAACGTCTTACTCACTTCTTTGTTGCACTTGGGAGATGCAAAAACCTACAATTTGCCAAATAACTTCTTTCAGTTGACATCACTTTCATCTCTTCTTCTTTCTGTTTTGTCTGGTATTGATAAATTGCTGGACAACTTGCCATTATCCTCTATTTTCAGGTTTGTGCTCTTATGTTGAATTAAATCTCAATGACTGCAACCTGATAGAATTGCCAAGTGCTGTGAGTTGCTTATCCTCCTTAGATTATTGATCTAACTGGAAACAATTTTGAGAGCCTGAGCCTCAAACCATTTTCCTCGTCTTAAAAGCCTTGACGTTAGCTATTGCAAGCGACTTCAATCTATACTAGAGTTTCCATCTCCGTTGCATCTGACAGATTTCCAGGCACATGACTGTTTATCACTCAAAACTATGCCAAATTCAATGAATTTAGCCTTTACAGCAGACTGGAATTCCCAGCAGAGTTTCACATTTTCCAATTGCTTCAATCTGACTGAAGATGCACAAAGAAATATTCTTGCTGATGCAGAACTTCGAATACAGGTTATGGCAACTAATGCACAGGAGACTGCATCAATGGAAGATTATTTGGAGGTACCTGTCTTTCACTCTCTGATGTTGAGTTCTATAATTTTCTCTTGCCTTAAATGTTACAGACAAATATTTTCATGGTACAGTGGTATTGGCCAGGAGCTTCCGTCAGTATTTGTTTCCCTGGAAATGAAATTCCAGGGTGGTTCAGCCATCAAAATGTGGGATCTTCAGTAACAATGGAACTCCCTCAACATTGGTCTAGCAGTAAGTTCTTAGGCTTCGCTCTGTGTGTTGTAGTTACATTCGACGACTACCATGATTACATGAATTTCAATGTCGAATGCAAATGCGAATTTGAAACCAATGATGGTGACAAGCATAACATTGATTGTGGTCTGAATGGCTTAAAAGCTCAATACAAATCCAGATCTCTTTCGTCTGATCATGTATTCCTGTTTTTCCATGAGCGATTGTATGCTATCCTAGTTCAAAGAGATGATCAGGACCATTTCTTCAGTGTGTACCAGTCCTGCCATAAGGTTTTGTTTGAATTCTTACCAGTAGATGACAACCGGTTGCCCCTACTGAATTGCAAGGTGAAGAAGTGTGGGGTCTGTATACTGAACGTGAAAGAGGAGGATGCAGAAATTTTTGACGGCTCCAACGTAGATGATCATGTTGAAAGTGAAAGTGATAGTAACTCCAATCATGAGGTACAAGAGGATCCAAACTCCCAAACATTGAAAGAAAAGGAAACCAATTTAGAGGCTAATGCCTTCTGGTCGGCTCAAGGCAGAGCCAATCTATTATGTATGAACTTCTTGGTTGGAGTGGCTGTGGTTTTATTTCTGCGGTATTTCCTGGGCGTTGTAAGTGTTAATGGTTTCAAAAAGCTCTTGGTCTCTTTGCTGCAATAAGCCCTGCAGATGTTGGGGCTAATTAACTTGGGAGAAACATGTATCTATAATTTATTAAATTCTTCAGTATCTGATAAATGCAAGAAACACAGATTGGTTTAATTATGTATTTTATGGATCTTATGATATGATATAACAAATGCAACTTCACTGAATTGGATATATGCAAATTCAGTTGGATATGACTACTCACAATTTATCTTAATAAATTTACTACTCCTTACTATAACAAACTTCTAAAATAAACTTTGGAAATCCCTTAAAAAACTTTACAAACCCCTTATGCAAACTCTTTCTAAGTAGATGGCTACTACTACTAAAACTAATATATATGGTGCTCACTCGCTATCCGCATGGTAGGTCTAAATTCTGGATTCTTGTCTAAGCATAAAAGGGCCACCTCCAGGATACATTTCAGCTAGTCCTGAACTCTGCAAAATCAAAGATACTATATCTAAGTGAGTGAATATCATTTCTAATTTTCTGTAGTCCTTCCTTGCGGATGCCCACATTATGTTTAAAGACGAACATCAATAGTTGACATTGGAAATAATATTAGTTAGGATCATCTAACAATTAGTTGGTGTCGAATAATATTAAGAAACAAACCCCTATTTGTTTAACTTTTCAAACTCTTCCTATTCTACTATCTTATACTAAATACTGGAAAACGTGTTCGTTTTAATATTGACTATTCAATTCTATTTTATTCGACTCAAAATATTTAGGCTTCGTTTGGCTCACATTTGGGAATACTACTAGTATTCCCAATAAAGTTAAACAGTAAAATTGAAAAAACTCACAATATTATTCAACTTTTTTTAAACCCCCTAAATTTGTTAATTTAATTAAATACCCCTAAATTTTTTTTAGAAATTACAAAAAAAACCCCAACAACCCATATTTACCAGATTCTGGCCACCACCGCCGGAAAATGGCTGGAATGTAGATAATGGCGCACTACCGGCTGAATCTGGCCGGTAGTGCACCGATCTAGCCTTTTCCGGCCAGATCCATCTTGGATCTGGCCGAAAAAGGCCAGATCTAAGGCCAAAGATCTGGCCGTTGACGGTCGTATCTTTGGCCATCGTTAATGAGAAAATACAGCCAGATCTGGCCGTCAATGGCCAGATCTAGCCATAGATCTGGCCTTTGCCGGTGGATCTGGCCAGAAAAAGGCCATTTCGGCGCACGACTGGCAAGATCCAGACAGTCATGCGCTGATACGACAACTCCGGTAGTGTTGGCCGGCTGTCCATATTTAATGGGTGAGTTGAGGGTGTTTTTGTTAACTTTTAATGTTTTATTATAGGAATGTTTAGTAAATAAACAAACATAAAGGGTATTTTTATTTATTTCCAAATCCTACATCGTAATACCCGTCCAATTCAACTTTTTTTAACTTTTTTCCAAAAACTTTTCTAAAAAGTGTAAAAAAGTGAACCAAACGGAGCCTTAACAATTACCTTTCACAATAAAAGTTTATAAATTAACAAAAACACCCCCACCCACCCAAGCCACAGTTGCCCACCAGCAACCACTTCCGGCTGTCGGCATCGAAACAATGCATGATCAGGGCATCTAGCCAATCATGTGCCGATCTGGACGTTTTCGGCCAAATCCACCATGTATCTAGCTAGAAATGGCCATATCTATGACTAGAGATCTAGCCGTTGATGGCCATATTTTGCCAAATTTGGCCGTTGATGACGAGCAGATTATTGCCGTAGATCTGGTCGTTTCTAGCCAGATACACGGTGGATCTATCCAGAAAGACCAAATCAATGCACGACCGACCAGATCCAATCGATCATGCGCTAGTCCAGTGACTGTCAGCCACCATCCGACAATGGTGGCCAACTGTCGGCAGTCGGTTGGATGGGTGGAGGTGTTTTTGTTAATTTATAAACTTTTATTGTTAGAAGGTGTTTTTGTTAACACTTAAAATTTTGTTTTTGTAACATTCGACAACATTAGTGAACAAGCCCGGATTTAAAATAAAAAAAAAAAAATTCAAAGAATTTTCAACCACCATTATATGAAAAAAAAAAAAAATAATAATAATATAAGGTTAAAAGGAATAAACGAGATACCTGGTGCAACATATCCATATGTGCCAACAAGCTCACTCCAGTTTGATGACTCTTGTTTGAGGAACTTGGCAGTTCCAAAGTCTGAAACAGGAGCTTCATATTCTAAATCCAATAACACATTTTTGCTTGATATGTCTCGATGGACAATTGGTGGGCAACAATCATGATGCATGTAAGATAATGCATGTGCTACTCCTTGTATAACATTTATTCTCTTCCTCCAATCTAGTTCTACGGCTGCTTCAGTGCTCTTCAAGATGTCGGCCAAGCTACCTCTTTCAAGGTACTCATATACTAAAATTGATTATCGAGAATAAAATTTGACGATCTTTCGATGTCGTAACTCTGTTAATGCCTTTATTTCATTGAAGAACTCTTTTCGATTCGATAACTGATCAGTATAGCGAGAGTGCATTTTTTTTACTGCTCTAACATCCCCCGACGGTAACTCTGCTTTGTTAACAATTCCAGATCCACCTTCTCCAATACAATTCGCAACATCAAAGTTATTAGTTGCCCTTATGATATCTTCATATGCCATTCCATCACAAGTTGACAATTCACCTCTTTCTTTTTGTGAGTCTATTTTCCTTCTAAGAAACTACACATTCCAGTCCCCACAATTGATGAGGCAATTGCTCCAACTGCTAAAAGGATAATCTCCGCTTTTCCTAAAACTTGTTCGTTTCGTGTGACGGATTTGCAAGGTTTCAATCCACTAGCATTACCACACAGTCCTTTGTTCCCTTGTAATGTTTCTGCAGGAGCATCTCGGAACACTTTGGTGTTAGGAACTGGACCCTGTAAATCATTATGAGATACGTCAATGCTTGACAAACCTTTCATTTCTTGGAAACAATTTGGTATGAAACCAGAGAGATTATTGTGGGAGATATTTAACTTCTCCACGCTTTATAGATTGCAGATTTGTGATGATATCTCTCCTCTCAGCAAGTTGTTACTCAAATCGAGCTCAGATAGATGAGTTAGATTCCCCAGCTGACCTGGAATTTCTTGGCTAAATTGATTGCTTCCCAAGTTCAAGTAATGCAATTTCAATAAGGAAGCTAAACTTCCAGGGATTGAATTACTCAATTTATTTGCGGATAAATCAAGGTACTTAAGTTCGGTAAGCAAGCCAAGTTCAAGAGGTATACCACCAGAAAGCTGATTTCCATTCAATGTCAAGTTAGTTAGAAAAGTCAACTTGCCAAACTCATTCGGAATCTCTCCAACTAAACGATTCCGAGAAAATTCGAGTTCATGTAGCTGAGGTGTGTCTCCCATTTCAGGCGGTATGCTCCCTGTAATGTGATTTCCTGCAATCTTTAGGGTGCCCAATTGTGGACACTTTGCCCAAGTAGATGAGATTTCACCGTAAAATTTATTGTTGCTGAGATCTAATAACTCCATAATAGGATAGATGCCAAAATCTTCAGATATATTTCCATTGAGCTGGTTATTTTCAAAGCGGGCTCTAACTAGGCTTGTGCAATTTCGTAAGCTTTTTGGGATTGGACCTACAAAATTGTTGTCACGAACAGAAAAGTTTTCTAGTACTCTAGATTGGCAAATATTTTGCGGCAAAAAGCCAGTGAAATGGTTATCAAACAACAAAAGTTTAACCAACTTCGTCAAATTTCCGATTTCTTGAGGAATGGAACCGGAAAGCTCGTTACCACGGAGATATAACAATACTAAGTTACTCAGATTACCAAAAGAACTAGGAACGAAACCAATTAGTCTGTTTAAGCTCAACCCGAGAGTAGAAAGAGATTTTAAGTTTCCTATCTCATGGGGAATGTGACCAGTAAGTTTATTATTTCGAAGAAGCAAAACTTTTATGTTGCTCAAATTACCGAGGGTGGGAGGAATAATGCCAGTAAGTTGATTTTTGCTTAACCATAGATGGGAAAGGAACTTCAAATTTCCTACCTCCTTAGGAATGGAGCCATTTAATTGATTCTCAGCTAGATGAAAGACCTCCAAATTTAATAGGAGGCCAATTTCTGGTGGGATTTTCCCAGAAAACTGATTATTCGACAAATCAAGGTACTGGAGTTTGGAGAGGTTTCCAATTTGAGGTGGAATGGTACCAAAGAGGTGGTTACTGCTAAGATCAAGATAAGCAAGATGCGGAAACGAAGAGAACAAAAATGAGTGAAGCTTACCTTCTAAGCTTGTATTAATGAGCTGAATACTTTTGATATTTCCCTCATGATTGCAAGAAATTCCTGACCAACTACATGGGCTAATTTCGGTCGCATTTGCAGGAGAAAGGGTCCAGGTATTAAGCTTCGTGAAGAAGAAGAAGATGAGCTGAGAGAAGAGAGAGAAAATGAAGAATAAACTGCTTTCTTTATTATTAGTCAACTAAAATAGAAGCAGACAAGCAGACTATATATAGTCACTATTACAATGGATTAGTTATAACATAAAATGTAATTAGTGAAGCTAACTAACTAACTAATCTGTAACTAATCTGAAGATTAACAACTAATCAGTATTTACAATATTTACACACCCTAATACTCCCCCGCAAGGTGGCTGGTAAATGTCTTTTATAGCCATCTTGGACAACAAAGAAAAAAACTGAGTAGAGGGAAGGGGTTTAGTAAACAGGTCAGCCAATTGGTATTGAGAACGAATGGGCAGCAATTTGAGAACTCCTGAAGCAACTCTTTCACGAACAAAATGGCAATCTATTTTGATATGCTTAGTGCGTTCATGAAAGGTTGGATTAGAGGCAATATGTATCGCAGCTTGATTGTCACAATATAGCAAAGCAAGAGAAGCAACTGTGACTTGAAAATCGTGAAGAAGTTGCTGCAACCAGATGAGCTCACTGGNCACGTTAGAGGTGTAAGAAGAGGATTAGAGAAAAAGGCGAGGAATTCAAACTTACGGTTGTAATGTGAACACTTTCATTTTGGTAGTTGATGAAGATGTTTCTGCAAAAGAAAAAGTATGCAGCGGCTAAAGGAGGGAGTTGAATTCTGGATAAATTCCAGAAATTCAACGCCGTGGCAAAAAAAATTCGCGATGAAGAATTGAAGGAGAAACTTGAAGGCTAGGACACCTGCCGCGGTGCAAATGCTATTCATAAATTTAAGTGTTTGTTTTTTTAGTTAATTTCCAGTTTTAGAGTATGAGTTTAGGATTATATGTTTTTCTTTTTTATTGTGAGTTGAATTAGGGAAGTAGAATCTGTTGAGGATTATCATTCCTTCATCATGTTTAAGTAGGAGAATAGATTTTGTTTTGTTTTAGGATTGTTGTCTCTTTCTATATAAGAGAAGAAAAAACATTGGTTTAATTGTAATTGAGAGAGAGAAGCTGATTAATAAAAAAATGTTTTTCTTTCTGAAAAAAGATCGAGTTCATCACTACTACTTATGTTGTTGTTGCTCTCAATTCCAACAATTGGTATCAAAACAGTGAGCACCCTCTCAATTCCCAACACTTACCTTTAGCTCTAGTACCATATTAATTAACAATTCAACCCGAAAGTCTAAAGTATTACATAAAAGAAAAAAATTGCAAATGAATTGCCTAATAATTAGTCCACTTATCTTTGGCTTTAATAATTACATATATAGGTAAGTTTGTGCCTTTCTGGGTCTCGAAATTGTTAGAAGTTCAAAAGAATACCATAGTGCCAATCACAATCAATCATCTTTCCTGGAGATGGACGCTTTCAAAATTGGTTGACACTTAAAGAAGAGTTGATTGGCCTCTCACAATGAAGAATTTCCAGGACATCGAATTTTCCACGTAAAAAAGTTGTTGAATCTTGAAAGAGTAGTTGAACGGACCAGTTCTTTTTGTTAAATGTTAAATTATTTGCCAAATTACTTTTTATTCAATTTTGTTCGGAAATAACTTTATCAATAATTAAATTTAATGATTAACTACTTGATTTGTAGCTGTGTTTAATGTGGTGTGTGAAACAGCCTTTCTCTAACAAATAAGAGAGCTTAATAAAAGAGAACATTGCTACTTGATTTGTCGCTTGGTTTATCGTGGGGATGCCTTGTAATGTATTTAGAGAATGAATCATAATACTTAGGGTGCGTTTGGTTCAGGAAATGTTATATTACTGGGGAATGTTGTATTACTGGAAAGATATATTACTAAGAAATCTTTACAGAAATTTGTTTGATTGGTTGGAATAAATTGGTGAGTATGTTATAATAATATATTTGGTTGGGAAGATAAATGAGTGGGTATGTTATATAAATTACTAAATTGCCCTCCTTTTTAAATAATAATATTATATTATTTTTATTATTATTTTATTCTATTATTTTTTAAATTATTTCTTTTAACCCCCTATATTTGAAATTTTGCTAAAACACCCCAGCATTATAAAACTTTAATTTGTAGCAAAATCACTCCCACCCACCCTAAGCCACCGCTAGCAACTAGCCATCACTGCCGGCAACCGCCGCAATAGGGCATGGCCGGTTGGATCTGGCTGGTCGTGCACCGATAAGGCCTAATCCAGCCATGGATGAAAGATCCATGGCCAAAATGGCTAGATCTGGTTGTGAATATGGCCGTTTCACGGCCAAAGATGTGACCATGAAAAGGCCAGATCTTTGGCCGTGAAACAGCCAGATCTGATCCTTTCTGACCATGGATCACAAATCCATGCCGAAAACATCCTTACCGACACACGACTGGCAATATCCCACCAGTCTTATGCCGATATGACGACTTTCGCTGGTGGCCAACGGTGGTCTTGGGTGGTTGGTGATATTTTGTTAACTTTTAAACTTTTTGTGGCTAGGGTGTTTTAGCTAAATTCTCAAATGTAGGGAGTCTGGGTAATTGTTATTTGATAGACATATGAGGGCAAATGTGTCCGAAATAATAAAAGATTAAAGGCAAAATAGGGTTAAAATTAAGATTACCTCAATAATCTTATATTAACACCCCTTGGGAAGGTAATCTGATTACCTCCAATATTACCAACAGTAAACACTATTTGCAATAAAAGATTACGTAATATTCTATTACTTGACAATCAAACGAGAGAATCTTGAAAATTAAACAAAGATTACAAGATTAATCTTATATCACCCCAAACCAAACACAACCTTATAAGTAAGCATAACCTCCAAATCAATAGTGATTTCTACATTTTTATTACTCTGCAACTAATTATTGCTTTTGCATCTGTGTGATGAAATTTATAAATTTATTGCCATTCCCAGTTGAATTACCTATAGCCTATCATTTTTTCCCCTCAAAATATTACCATGGATACTTATATCAAAGATTATGGGTTGCATGCATGTAATCCATGTAGCATCGGAATAGGCCTTAAACGACCGGATTGGCATCGCAACATAGCCTTCTGGTGGCTTTCTGTGCTGCGGCGCTTGTTGGGTTAGGATTGGTTAATGGTTACATTAGCACGATGCCAGTTTTTGGCGTTGTAATAGATGTTTAATGACCGACTAACAATATATATAAGAGAAAATGGCATATTCCCACCTGAAGCTTACTGAAATCCTAAGTTGATACCCTTTGTTGCATTTATTCTCAATTCTCACCTTTAAAGTATTATCATTTCCTTTATTTTAATAGATTCTCAACTTTTCACTATAACGCAACGCATGTTAACATGTTGAAGTGCGTCACAGCTTTCTTTGACAGAAGATAGACTCATGTTAGCAAAAAGCGGCTCACGTTAACAACCTCTAAGTCGACAGTTTTTTGCTTTTTCTGACTGATTCCAAGTACCAAAATCATTTCTAAGACCACTGTTGGACTCTCTACAACCTCATCTACAAAACTTATATCTTTACTTGTTGACCTCACTCACCGCTTCTGATCATCTCCAACAGTCACTAACAGTGTTCAGAAAATTTTAAATAAATGCAACTAGGGGTATCAAAATTTCTGATTCAAGCACATGCTTTAGCAAACTATAGATGCTTTCATTAAAATTAATTCTCAAGTTGCAAAGGGGTTTAAATTACAAGTTGTAGTGNTTATAAGTAAGCATAACCTCCAAATCAATAGTGATTTCTACATTTTTATTACATTGCAACTAATTATTGCTTTTGCATCAGTGTGATGAAATTTATAAATTTATTGCCATTCCCAGTTGAATTACCTATAGCCTATCATCTTTTCCCCCTCAAAATATTACCATGGATACTTTTATCAAAGATTATGGGTTGCATGCATGTAACCCATGTAGCATCGGAATAGGCGTTAAACGACCAGATTGGCATCGCAACATAGCCTTCTGGTGGCTTTCTGTGCTGCGACGCTTTTTGGGTCAGGATTGGTTAATGGTTACATTAGCACGATGCCAGTTTTTGGCGTTGTAATAGATGTTTAACGACCGACTAACAATATATATAAGAGAAAATGACATATTCCCACCCGAAGCTTACTGAAATCTTAAGTTGATAACCTTTGTTGCATTTATTCTCAATTCGCACCTTTAAAGTAATATTATTTCCTTTATTTTAATAGATTCTCAACTTTTCACTGTAACGCAATGCATGTTAACATGCTGAAGTGTGTCGACGCTTTCTTTGGCAGAAGATAGACTTATGTTAGCAAAAAGCGGCCCACGTTAACAATCTCTAAGTCGACAATTTTTGGCTTTTTCTGACTAATTCCAAATTTCAAATATTAAAATCACTTCTGAGACCACCGACTTTCCATAACTTCATCTACAAAACTTATACTTTTACTTGTTGATCTTACTCACCACTTCTGACCATCTCCAACAGTCACTAACGGTGTTAGTTAAAGGATGAAAATCTTAAATAAATACAATTAGGGGTATAAATTAGGGTTTTGCTAAACCTCGGATGGGAATTCGTGGTTAACTCTATATATAATAACACCATTTGCAGCACCGACGCTTTTTTGGCTTTCCGACGCAAATTATAAGTTGACACATGAAATGAAAATTTCTGATTCAAGCACATGCTTTAGCAAACTATAGATGCTTTCATTAAAATTAATTCTCAAGTTGCAAAGGGGTTTAAATTACAAGTTGTAGTGATCTCTCCACCATTGACAACTATTCCCGAAGTTGATTGATGATGAACAGGAAGGTCACTGACTGTGCCACTGAAAAGTCCTGGTTTGTTGAACTCTTCATCTTCAAACACCACCCATACTTTGCTTATTTTGGTCTCTAATGTGCATGAGAAAAGAGTTGATGGCATACTATCATCACCTTTTTGTTTATCCTTTTCTCCTCCTTTGTCTGTCAATCTTGTTAAACAATTCAAAATTGAAGGCGTTGGGCCAATCTTGCTAGACATGGGGCGCCAATAAGAGCTCGTTGATGTACACCCTAAACATTGTTCCAAGGCAAGAACATGCTCCACAGTGATGATTTGGACTGATGGGTATTCTAAATTCTTATTCTCAATAAATCTCTTGCATTTCTCATACAAATGATGAAGTTCTTGGCTCTGCGTCGAAGCCCTCTTGAGTATTTCACAGGCTAAACTTCTTGCCGGTCTTGCTAAATCAAAGAACATATTAACAAGAGCTGCAACGCCTTCACTGAACGCCATATAAACCTGGAAGCTTTCTTTCAAGGTGTTGATCATAGCCGCCTGAATTAAATTATCACTAGGCAAAAAATCAAATGTTGAACTTTTCAACACCTTGTCTATGAAACCCTGACACCTTGGAAGTTTACGGAACACCATATCCATGGATTTCTCTTCAAAGGTTGACATAACAGGTTCAAGTTTCCCAGCTTGGTTGATGACCCATCCCATTCTTTCTTCAAGATAGGCTGCATACTTGTGGAGAAAACAAACCGAAGGATCCGAATTCGTTATGAACCAGCGAGTACTCAGCTGAAGATGGCCGGAAACATGTGCATTACGTAGCTGTTGTTCAAAGTAGCGATTGCCTCCACGAAGAAGACGATGAATTAGCAGAAGAGTCTTGAGGGCGACAAGGCGGTCTCTAGTCTTGACAAGGCGACGAGAGATCCTTTCAGCAAGAAAAGAAATGGATCCTGGAGAATTTGTGACCAGGAAGAGGATCTCGTGCATGTATTTGTCATCTATTGGGCCATAATCATGGCCAGTGGCACGCACCACAGCGATTTCAATATCGGAAAAGCCTTTGCCATCGTAGTTGTGGAGGATTATAGCTTTGCCGATAGTGGCATGATCTTTAACTGAGCCAAGAGCTAGCCGGAGTTTGCCTTGAATGTCCACCCCCATTTCTGAAAATGTGTGAAGTGTAGGTGAGGTTCAGTAAGTTGAGATATATAATGGAGGAAAGAGAGACAATTGGTGATAATTAAGAGGCATTGAGGAATCAAATCGACATTTTAAAAACATGCCAACTTAAATGTCAGAATGTTCTTTCAGACTTTATATCTTGAATAGTTGATTTGCTTGCTCTTGTTTTTTATAACATTGTTGCAGGGTACAAACTAGCTCACATGGAATTTAGCAGAGAAATCAAATCTAGCTAGTAAGTTACAGTTTTTTTTTTTTTTTTATTTTTTTTAATGATCAGAGATATCCAGATCAACTGACATACACCTCAACTAATCCTCTAAAATCTTAAAATTATCGATGGGATAAAAACTCTAATAACTACCTCTATTAATAGTCGTGGAGACTCGTAGCAAGTTACCGTTGAATAATAATAAATATGAGACTTTTGCAATTTCTTATCAATGTTATAAGAAAACGTATTCATATTGTCAAATTCTATTTCCTAAATTATTTGTTCTAAACTTTTTATCCAAGAGGAGTATATAGGGTGGCCCAAACAAGAACCAGTTGATGAAAAATCGACATCGGGAAGATTAGGGAAATGTGGTCATTGGCCGCCACACCACTAAAATCGAAGGATTCTTTTCTTAAAAAACTAGAATCAATCAAATAATGGACAAGAACAATGCTACTTTCTAATGGTCAACTGGTTGTTATGAATATAGAAACCGAATAACAAAGAGTGCTTTAGAAGACTCCAAGACATACTTTTTGGTTTTAGATATAAATGAATAAACTACATCTCAAAGAGTCAACAAGGCAAAAAGGTTTTTTATTTTTTGTGGTGGAAGAAAGAATCTCATTCTTCAAGAATAGGATTCTTGGGCATCAAACTCTCTTCCTATTAGTGAAATCATAATACATTAATATTTTTTTACTGTTGAAATTTGTCTTTCCTTAATTTGTTTTCCTTTCTTTGGTACTTGAAGCCCCACACACTAGCATAGTTTGAGTAGAATTAGTGTCAGTGGCAATAATTCAGGATGTTCTGCCTTGACAAATAGTTAAGTTAATCGTCACATGTCGACACAAGTCAAGTCATCAGCACCAGGTATTGATTGATGCCTCTTCTTTGCTTTGACAATATTTTTATTCAAAAACATAACATCAACTATCACACATCGCAAAAGTAGTAAAATATTCTCTGGCAGCTGGCTTCACATAGATATTCTGCTAAAGCAGGATAATGCCTTGGGTCAAACCCCAACTTGCTGCTCTCAACTAAATCTTTGTTGATGGCTTTTAAAATTAGTTTCAAGCTAGTAAGTACAAGAGACAAAGTGAAAATTCAAAGATCCCATCCCCTGTATCGCTGTTTCTGATAACATAGTCAATCATCAATGCTGCATATGATTGAGCAGGAAAGTTTAAAGCTACTAGTTTCAGCATTCACAAAATCATCAATTTGCTCTTAATCAACTATTGAATCCGCCTAAAAAAGGCAACGGGTTGGTGCTAATACAAGCATAGCTCCGCATTTGGGACTTAGACCAACAGTAAACTTAAAAATGGGTGCATAAAGAGGTCATTCATTCTCTGGAAATTCCAGCAATTTGTATTTGAAGGAGTGAACTGATTGGGTAGGGTGAGATATGTTTGTATAGAGGTTCACCAGCGACCCACAGCCACCACCGTTTTGAACTTGATATTAGTTTCAGCATTTGGATTGTCACTAGCTAAGAAACCAGTAGTAGCTTGTAGGATTGTCCCAAATGCTGAGGGAGTAGAGAAGGGTTCTGTCAGAAATTAATGGCTCCAATACATTAGGCTATTAAACATCTAAGACAAACTACAAAATGAAAAGAGAGATGTTGAAACACAAGGGCCGCAAGGTCTAAGCAAATTACTATGCCACTTTCAGGTATTGACAGGGAATGAAAGTAAATTAGCATCTTTTCTTCTGCTGATACAACTTTTACTTTTCCGATCATTGAGGATTTTTCTTCAGAAAAATCAACGTTCTAAATCAGCTATTACTATCTTCAATCCAATGGCAAGCAGCTCAGAATCTAGGAGAGTGTGGGATGGGTATTTGAAGTTTCATAGAGAAGCAGGTAGTTTCTACACGGAGATGGCTATCATTTGCACATTAACACCGTATAGTGATGGAAAATGAAGAGATAATTTTACCCAATGAGAAATTCTACCTAAGAGGCTTCATGCCCTGCACAAATGCAAAATATTTTCTGTCAATGTTCCACATTTGTAGGAAACAAGGTAAATATTTTTTCAGAATTCAGATAAAAGAAAGTGAAACTTAAGTAAAATCCAGCAACAATTCAAGATTGAAATCCTGGTCAAGTGAATGAAAATAGCATGAAATGAAAATGAAATCATAGAACAATATATTTTTATCTAAGAAAAGATAAATTTCTAGTTTTTTAACTTCAAACTTTTTCTCTTTAGTATTCATACTATAGATAGATATCTCAATATGCTTTTCTTACTAATACTTTCTTTCATCAATTGCATTGACAGATGTTAAGAAGAAAAAAATTAGAATTCTAGTGGGGCAAGTTGGCATTGAACATTATAGGAACCATTATCTGTAAAGTTACTTTCAAATATGTTATTAGTCAGTAAAGTAGATGCCAAATTGCAATAGGTCAGGAAATCTCAGCCGCCCACAACGCAAAAAGCCAAGACAAAATATAATAACTCAAGTATCGGTGACATGAATAACAAACAAGATATTAAATGGTAGTCAACTACATGAGAATTAAAGCGATGAAAAAGGCATGGTGCAATACTTTGTTAATTTGTATTATCATTCATTCTCAAGTTTGAAGCCTACCAGCTACAAATGTGTGTAACACAAGGTCTAAACGCTACCTACCCTATTTTTAAATAGACAAACGTGCTTAATTTTTTTTCCAAAATCAACCATACCTCCAGTAAAAATCAAACAGCGTAGTATTTTCCTTCTTACATTAAGATTTTCCTCGATGTAAAATTGCAGCTCATATGAGAACATGATAACTATGGATCATGCACTGAAACACATAATGCAGAGGAATTATTTATTTCGTTGTGTCAACAACTGAGTTGACACCCAGCATGTTAAGAACATTTCAAAATTAGTAAATCTTAAGATATATACTTCCACCACCATGACACTTAAAGGAATAAAATATTCCAAAACTTCCCTTTTCATTTAAAAGAAATGGGTACAGATTTATTAATAAGAAAAGGAAAAACTTTTGCGTGGAACCCTATGGATGTGAAATGCTCAAGAGAGCAACAATAAAGAAATGGAAATGGTTAAAAATGAAGGCCTCAAACTCTAGTAAATGACACCTATAAAGAATCAAAGAGATTAGTGGTAGCAGAAGTATGAAATGAGGGGGTTTTCTTTGCTTTTTGTTTAAATTCTTAATTCAACTTAATGTAAGTTATTTAGACCTTTTGTGGCAGTGATATTCAGATATTCTGATGAGAAATCATCCTCATTTCTCAATTCTTCACTCTATCAAAAGCTCTAAAATTCATCTTCCTTCACTAGCTCCATACTGAGCAGGGCAATAGCATATCCAATGTTTTGTCCCTACCAGGCAAGCCCCTCCAACATAACATGAATCTAATCTCTCTAAGAGTTATGTAAATGTATGAGAAGATGATCTACTATTTCTCCATTTCTTTTGCACAAAGCTTAATAAAAGTTTTATCCTTCAAATGAAAGCACTATCATCCTGACAATTAAAAGACCTGGGGCAAGAACCCTTATCCTGGTAGGATGTTTGAAAATAGTCCCATAATTACTTCTTTTGGCTTGTAAAAGCCATATCTACTCCATCATCCATGTATAACATTACAAGCAGATTAAGCATAGTTAATTTACTGCACATGATTACACTTTGTTTCTTTGCTATCCACTACACTTTATTTCTTTGCTATCCACTAGTATGGAAAATCAATGTAATAGCTTTTATAATATCCATGGATATCATACCTTAGAAATCCTCAACTCATTAACCGCCATTCGTAGAGAATCATCGGATAGTATCAATCGTGACAATGCTCCAGTGCTTAACCTGCCATATTAACAAAGATTGTTATTTTAACGTAAACTACAAACACATGCAATGGTAAATATAAATGACATTATACAAGTAAATAACATCATTTTCACCAATAGTGAGACAATATAGCTCACCCCAATAACTTAGCTGTCTCTGATACAGATCCCTCAACTGTGTAAATTAGATCAAGCAGAGCTTGCATTCCCTATAAATAAACAAATAATATCACAACAAAGATACTACACTTACAAACACTACATACAGACTAATGTCATATCATGCGACACGAGCAACACAATATAAAGAAATTAATGCAATAAATTAAAGTTGCTGATGACGTATTCATATATCAGATACACAATTACGGATGTTACAATTATAATTCTTCAGATAAAAAATACAATGGTTCAAGCTATTGTAACACAAATTTTCGACACAAACTTGTGACCATTGATTCGGCTTATAGATTACTTAGTTGGCATTAAAAATAACCAACTCTAACTTCTCATCCATGTCATTTGATTAAAGGGCTAAGAATTTGTGTTACAATAGCCTAACCCAAATATAAGTTATTGAAATATAAAATAAAAGGAATAGCCTAATTATAATTTATTGAAATAAAATAAAAGGAAATAGTGCGTACCAAAACGAATTTACGATTATTAGGTCCAATTTGAGGGCCACAGTCTGATCCTCTAATGGTGGACTTAAGTGGAAGAATTTGAAGCAGTTCTTGAGGAGGTGAATATGTATCAAGGTTTACATTGTTCCTGACTAGTTCAATTCAATCAAATCAGCAAAGAATCTTGTCAATTACAAGGATGAATTTGAAAAGAATAGAAGTAGAAATAGTTACCAACCTTTAAGAGCTAAAAGAATGCGAAGACGATTCAAAGCTGAAGCACGATTCATGTGTTGCGATCGATCTTCAACGGCCTGGGCTGTGACACCAGTGGGTAAGTGTTTGAGACGAACGGCAGACTCTCGCTTGTTCCTGTGTTGACCACCTGGACCCGATGCTTTGAATGTGTTCATTTCGCATTCTCTCATCAATTCTTCATTACTTAATTCTAAGTAATTCTTCTTGGCGGAACAACTACTACTACTACTACAAAAGGATAATGAACCACCACCACCATTTCGATTAAGATAAGAAGGGAAAGGGAAGCTTCTTCTGATTCCAAGCCGGGGAAATTGGATTAGGAATTGAGCGGCTAATGCCATAACCTTCTCAAGTGTCACTGAAAATGCGATAAGCAAAGCTGCCTACCAAATACAACTCTACTATACAAGTAGTCAACCTTAGCCCAATCATATTCGACCCAGCCCAGTTCAGTCAAACCCATTCTACTATAAGTATTCGGCCCCATTTACAGTGCATGTCTTTTTTTTTGTATTATCAATATCATAACATCAACAAACGTGATCACTTTGACTGATTTTAATTCTCAAAATTTCAAGATTTTATTTAAGCGACATATAAAACCGTAGAACTATGTAATTTATTATTTATAACCTAATGAAAAATAAAGGATTTGTTTTCCAATATATAACATTACACTATATTAGGCCAAGACTTGATAGTTTAACATATAACGGTCTGATTAAAAGTTAAAACATGCTTAGAATATATTAATTAAATTTTCATTATGGATAATTACCTTAACTCACATGGTTTTATGGTTATTTTTTACTTCTAAACAAAATTTTAATATTTTTGAGAATTATCATTAAGATGAAATGTGTAAATGTAATGATAAAACCATTAGTTGTAAAAAAGACACAGATGTTTTCACTTTTCAACACATTAACAGAAAAACAACAGTACAAAAGCATCCTCGTGGAATTATCTAATTTATATATAGAAGCTCAGAGTTGAGGTTTATTCAGCAGAGGATAGGAATAATTTCTTTTGCAAGTTTGCATTCTTTCTTCTTTTTCTATGGCTCCAAAAAGCCTCAAGTAATAAAACACCAAAACATATACACAAGAGTTGGTTTTTACAACAACAAAAGTGCTTTACAACTTCCAGAAATCAATACCCTAAAAAAAAGCAAATTCCAGAGGCATGAGATGTCAAGTCCCAGGTGAAGCCGGAAAATTAGCTAACCAAGGTAGCAGTTTTTCATGGACCAAGTCAGGTCTGTCATCATGGGGACAATGTCCTACTCCTTCCAGCACAAATAGCTTCACATTTGATTGTTGAGAAGGCAGAGATGAGAAGTACTTACCAACAGGTCCATCAAGGGGTGTGAATGGATCGTTATCACCCCATAAAACTAGAACCGGTAAGGATATTGATGTCATCAACTGCACTGGGTTAGGCCCTGGTGGCCCTGTCACAATTGAAACAAATGCATCGAGTGCCCCTTCATCATTTGCTGGTTCTCTAATGATCTGCAGTTTTCAAGTAAATAGATGAATCTTGAGAAGATGTTTTGTGAGAGATTATATTAAAATGGCAATGGCATTGATAAAACAGCAATATATACCTCCACCAATACATCATCCACAAATTCCTTATTTCCATAGATCGACAGTAAAGCATTCCTCAGAGTATCTCTGCATAGCCAAGCCATACATTTTAGAATATTTTTTTTTTCACTCTCTGACATTTTAAAACAATGATCATTGGATTGGATACTGATATACTAATAATACCTTTGTTTCACACGCTCAAAGATTGCCGAAGCAATTACCCTTTGCCTCAACAAAAAATCAAAGAACCAAAGCAAAGGTAGTAACAGCTTGATCCTCCAATCATCAACAATTGCCTTATTGTTCATGCCACCAGCACAATTCAACAACACAAGCCCTTGAACAAGATTTTGATTGGACTCTTGTAGGAGAAAGTAAAATAAGCATAAATGCAAAACCCCAGATGACAACAAGGCTAATATTAGGAGCAACTGTTTTCTTTGCAAACAAACATACCTGAGGCAGCAATCACGCAAGCAAGACTTCCAACAGAGTTCCCTATAAGCACAGTTGGCTTCTGAACAACTTCAGCCAAGAAATCCAATATTAACTGCATGCAATGAGTCCGAGGTTAATTAGCAGGAAAATTCCCAGTGGATAAGAACTCGATGTGTGTTAAACAAAGGATAAATCATTTAATGATAAAAATTTCCATGATTCCAAGAATTGTCACCAAAACTCACAGACTTCATTAATCAAAACAAATAATCAACAACTTTCAAAATAAAAAATAAGATAAAACTCAATTATCCAAAGAACAGTCCAACCTGAGCCCATAAAAATGTGGATATGATGTAGGTTACCTGAGCCCATGCCTCCATGGTATATGAAAAACCAGCAGGCTTATCTGAAGCACCAAACCCAAGAAGGTCAATGGCATAAACAGTGTAGTTCTTTTCCAGTACGGCAATGTTCCTGACAGAAAAATCCTAATTTAGTTGATAGATAGATATCTATCCGGATAATGAAATGTGTGGTTGGTATTGCATATAAAAAAATTATAAGAATAATAATAATGAAAGGTAACCTGCGCCAGTGAGGGATAGAGGCACCGAAGCCATGAACAAGAAGTAGGGAAGAATTGGAAAGTGAATTAGGATTAGAAGAAACCAAGTAATTGATGGAGTACTGGCCCTTCCATTGCCATTTTTTGCATCTCTTTCGTATCTCATTAACCTCCAATACACTAGTACTGGCGCTGATGCTGGTATTACAAGTGATAATGTTAAATCTCTTTCTTCTCTGCTGCAAATGCAAATGCAAACTCTTATTATTACAATTCAATGCTCCTACACCAAGAGGAAGGGGAGCCCTCACTACCCAGATGCCCATTCTTACTCTTCCGGTGGAATTAAGTACCAAAATCCTCTTTTTGACGTGAGGATGACAAATAGTTTGGCAGATATTTTTATAAATAGTAGGAATTATGATAAATTAATGGGAAAATAACACTTATGTCCTTAAGGTTTATCCTTAAATAATTGGAGTCCATAAGAATTTTAACAGAGTAAATAATTTTTCCCACCCAAGGCTTGCCTTAATGACACTTTTCCACAAAAACTGAAAAAAGTTAAAAAATACTACTTTCCCATCCAAAGTTAATATTCTGTTATTACCTAAAGCCGATTCCAACAGCAAGAATTCTCTTCATCACCATCATTTTAACCTTTGATCTCCTTTCTACAAAACCCCTCTTACTCTGACATCTGATTTCTCATCGATTGTCGGCCACTGTAAAGCTAAGGTTTCGTATTCTTAGTTGATTTCAATAACGAATATTCAATCAATCACAACCATTCGATCCATTGACCTCCACTCAACAAAACCCCTCTTATCTTGTCTTGGTAACTTGTTGAACACCGACTAAGAAACTGAAGTGTATTTTAGGTATCAACATAATAAAACTTTGGGTAGAAAAATGGTATTTTGAAACTTTTTAGGTAAAAAAGTTTTAAGGCAAACCTTAGGTGGGAAAAAGTTATTTACTCAATTTTAACAACTTAACAGCTTTATAAATTAGTGTTGCTAATTTAAATTGTATCATGCAGACGAGTTCTTTGATTTTCCCCCTCGGTTTCGATCCATTATTGTCAAGATCCTTCAAATACTTGTAAATTCTCTCCTGAAATGACAAAAATTACCCCCAACTAGTAATGCTAAATATTTATTTAAATATCTTAAAACTATAAATTTAATTAGATTTTTTCTTTATACAACTTTTCCAATATCAAATTTGAACTTAATTTTCTTCTTTACTTTTTCTTCTTAGGATTCAAATTTATTTAAATGACAAATTTAGTCGAAAAATCCAATAATTTACCAATTATATGCTTAATAAAACAACAAATTTACCAATTATACGCTTAATAAAACAACAAATGATATATTCCTAATATATAATGCTAAAATATGCTAGACTCAATAGTTCAACTCGAGTCTATCATTTAATTTTATAGTTTAATTAAAACACGTTAGATTACGTTAGATAGTTTAATTTTACAGTTTAATAGTTATTTCTATTCTAGTTTCCATTTCTATTCTTATTCCAGTTCCCTTCTTATACTTATTCCTGTTTCTATTGCTGTTCTTAATTCTTATTCTTATCCCAAATTCTATTTGTATTCGTAATCCAGTTTCTATTGCTATTCCTATTTTTCAATTTCAATTTTAAAAAGTAACCGTTAGTAGTGTTGGTAATTGTATTTTTACCTAAACACGTGATTTATACATTTTATAGGTCTTTGTTAAATCAAATTCAAAGGATTACTGTATTTTTGTTCAAAATCAAAACCATCTTAACAAATAATTGATGGAGCCTGCATCGGTTCGCAGGCCGTAGTCTCTCTCATCTCTTTCAACTTCATTGCTCTCGTCTCTCTTGTAATTTTTTTTTAATTTCTTGGTAATTCGAAATTCGAAACTAATTTCACTAATCAATGTTTTCTTACCGTCTTTGTATCAGTTGAAGTTATTGATGATCTCAGCCACCTTCAACATTTATGGGATACTAAAGTGGTGAAGTTCATAAATAGCGGAATGAGATAACACTTAACAGGTGGAGATGCCTTAGAGAGAAGTTCCTTTTATAAATCGGTTTGTACCATTGATGGTGTTATTGTTCCTTCTTTTCTTTTGCTGTTTACTTTTTATTTGTTATCACTGTATTTCTACTTTTATTCTTCTATCATTTTGTTAGACTATATCTTTGATTTTTTTTTTTTTTAGTTGTTTTTATTATCTTTTTTATTGGATGAATCTAGGTATTGTGGAATTCTACTCTTAAGGGATTCTGCTACTCTGTTCAGTTGCTGCAAGGAAAAAATTATCCAGACTCATTGATTAAACGCTGACCGTTTAGGGTAAAGTTCTGCTGTGTTTTGTTCTTGTCTTTGTGCCTTTAATTTGATTTAGGAACAGGCAATTTATGCACTTGATATATTTAATTAGCTTTGTGATTGAAGTTAAATATCGTTTTTAATCATCTTTAAATAGATTCTCTGCTTGTTCTGCTCTTCACCCCATGATCCTTCGCTCATCAGGTTTGGTTCTCATTTTGTCTTTTGTTGTTTTTTTTGGTGGGTTGGTGTTTTATTATTATTACTATTTTATCTGATAATTTGCTTTTTCTACAGTTATTTTGCATAATTTGACTAGCTCATCAAAGTTTGTGATTTTTTGTGGAGGTACTTCATAATTTGTGTTTTTGTTCTGATTGCTTGATTATACCAACTTTCAGCATGTTAAAATTGGAATTGCCTGTATCGTGGGCAACCACTGGTTCAAATCCTAAATGGTGATTATTGTTGTGTATTATTCATGTGTGTATGGACATGACTAAGTCGTGATTTCCCCATTTCAATTTATCACCTAAAATGTATCCAAGTATTAACATTGTGATTTAAATTAATTATTGCACTTCCATTGGTCACTGATTTGATTAATGAATGTGTGATTTTTTTACTGTAAACAGGTACTCAAATAACTATGTCCTGCCAGTTTTGTGAGGGTACAACTGTATGTAAGCTGTTCCATCGTTCATTAGAAGGATTGAAGGTGAGCCTGGTCTTTGTGAGGGTACAACTGCATGTATGTTGTTCCATTGTTCTTTAGAAGGATTGAAGGTGAGCCTGGTCTATAGGCATGCATAAATCTGGATTCAGGAGCCAAATTCGGTTCACGATTCTTCTGCATAGTAGGCATATGTGAAGAATCTAAAGACATGGGGAGAGAAAATAATCCATCATATGTGTCAGTATAACAATTTAGTTTTTCTTATTTGTGTCATGTGATATTCTTAACATTACCATGTACTGTTCCTATTTCCTTGATGCATCTGCCTTTTTTATGTATTAACCGATGTTGTGTCGTTCACACAATTCCTCTTTCATTGTTGCTTTTCAACAAGCAATTGAAAACTGTGAATTATAGTTCAAGACTTCTTGAAACAGTTCTTGTTTCTTGTTTCTAGTTGATGTTTCTTTCTTTTCTTTTTTTCCCATGTTTTCCTTGTTTATGTGATTTTTTATTGGACATTTTGGAATACGGGGATTTGGTTAGTTTTTACACAATGCTATACTAGCAATATTGATGTACTCATACATGATTTTTGTTCTCTTAATCGTTTAAATTCTTCTACTCTTTTTGATTGTGTTCATTTGTTTTGCTGATTAGATGCTTCACTATATGTGGAGGTGGTAAGCATGAGATATGATTTGTGGAGTACAACTGGGAGAACCTGGTAACATTATATTGTGGTTGAGCCATGGGGAAGTGCAGACTTTTGGTACACCTTGAACACTAGCTGCACAGCTATTGTTATTGCCTCTGTTTGAACTTGTTGTCAATTTGATGTTTATATTGTTCTTGAGCCTTATGACAATTTCCTTAAACTTCTTCATTGTTAAAAGCAATAGTTGAGCCATTTGTATGATATTACTTTCAGGTTTGGTTTTGAGAGTCTTGGCAAAAGGCAAGCTGCGAATGATTTTCAGTTTGATGTCCTCCTGTTTCGGAAGCCTTCGATGGTCTTGCAAATGCTATAAAGGTATTTCTTGCCATGCAGTTATTCTTTATTTTATTTTATTTTTTTTCACCTGAAACTTTCTTAGTTGAAGTAAAACCTGATCTCCCAAATGCAGCAGTTTCTGTAAAAATTATGTTAGCTTCTGCTGTAGAAGTTATTCAATTTTCATGGTGATCCTATGTTCTATCACCCAGCATTCTGCAATGATGAATATGCAACCTATCCTGATACAAGGTCTCGTAAGTATATTTGTATGTCCTTATGTTCCAAAAATGCCTCCTCACCAACCACTAACATCGGACCAATATTGAGGAACCATACAAGAGAAGGAACCTGATCTCTTTTGCCTCCAATTTGTGCCACAGTTTCCAATATAATATCTAATTGTTAGACCTTCATTGTGGTTTAATTAGTATATTTATTAAGTATTGGATTTGTTGATTTTTTAAGGCAATTTTTTGGCAGTGTAACTTGTGAGCTTTTCACTGGTTGAAAGCGTAGGATCTTTTGTAGATGTCACAAGGAATGCTGAAACTAGTATTGAAATTGAGGTAGTATAATGTTATTTTACTGTCTTTAATTCAATGTTTAACTCTCAATAATGGACTTGCTGACTGTAAAAATTACCTGTGTTTGCAAGGTTGAAAGAAAACAATTTTGGAGCTCCCGGATGCTGTAGCAGAAACTGTCAATGGTCACATTTACTTTTCAGCGTACTTTAATTAATGTTATGGAAAAGCATTTTTTTCATTGAAAGCTTTTTCTCTCTAATGCATTTTTGCATCCAGGCTTGTGCTGTGACCTTGATGAATACATACATAATATTTCTCTGCTTTGGCTCAGCATTGCATGCATAGTATAGTGTTGGAGTTTTTATTTCACCAAATTGTGAACAGATGCTTAGATCGAGACGGTAATTGTGCAATACTAAAGTATTTCCTTCCAGTTTTTTGAGGGTTCAACTGTAAATACATTGTTCCATTGTCCTTTAGAAGGATTGATGATGAATCCAGTCCTTATGCATGTGTAAACTTGGTTTGTTTGTCAAACTGGGTTCATGTTTCTTCTGTGGACTAGGTGTCGATGAAGAATTAAAAGACCTAGGAGAGGAAACAAGTCATCAGCATTCACTTTCCGAATCATGAACCTGTTAGGGTTTGACATGGTGTTAAAATTCTGGATAGAAGGTAATTTGAGCCAGATGATAGTCTGTACAATGTTTCTGCATTAGGTTTGCCGAAGACTCACTAAACAGGTGTTTGTTATTGAACTTGGGGCTCAAAAGATGCAGTCTCTGAAGGTAGTTAGCACTCTGATATTTATCTTAACTATGACTGCTTTTTCTTTTCTTCTGTGGACTAGGTGTCGAGGAAGAATTAAAAGACCTAGGAGAGGAAACAAGTCATCATATGCCAATTTAAATTCCTTTTGTTTATTATATCATGCGATTTTATTGGTATTGTGTTTATTTCTTTTATCCATCTTGTTTTATATATTAACTGATTTTGGGTAGTTTTTACAATTGTTCCGCCATTCTTGTTTTTCAACAAGCAATTAGAGACTATATGTGAATTATAGTTAAATACTAAGTTTCATAGTTCTTGTTTCTTGTTTCTTTGTTGCTGTTTCTTTATTTTCTTTTTTACCATGTTATTCTTTATTGATGTGATTCTTTTCTAAAATTATTGATCTATTATGAGGTTTTGGTAAACATTTTGTCAATGCTATAAAGGCAATGTTGTGTAGTGGTTTTTTAATTCTCATAATCATTTATATTTTTTTGCTCTTTATGATTATGTTCATCTGTTTTGCTCATAGGATGCTTGATTGGTAGCGATGGTGGTCAGAATGAGTTATGATATATGTATGACAACGAGGAGAACCTGGTAACATTATATTGTGCTTAGGAATTCTATTTTCTATGGATTTGCTTTAGTTTTGGACAATTTTCAACTTCTATGTACTTCAACCTAATGAAAAGCTCGAAGCATTTGTGATAGGAAGAATTATGTCAGGATGATCAATGAAAAGTAATCATTTTAGGCATCAAGCCTTGTAACCTTACATGCAATCTGAGAGTAAGAATTAAAAAAAAAAAAAAAAAAAAACTAGAGTCCTCCACATTTAAATCTCAACCTGTTCGTTTCGTATGTCGCAATGAGTGTTTGCAGATAGTTGTCAAGAAGTTTGTTTTGCATGTTTGGATGGAATTTATTAGTAGATTCTTCTTAATAAAATTAATTAAGTCTGCCTGTCGTGGTTCAACACTTGGGTTTTCCTTTAGTATGTTACTATTATTATGACTTAATGGTTTCTACTTAAATCGCTACTTGAAGTGTCCAGTCTTAGCATTTCGGTGTGCTTGCTAATTCTTTTGCTCTTTAGTGGGAACAAATTATGCATGCTTGTTTTTGGGGCAATGAGATAAACAGAATGACTAAAATATCCCTTTGTTTTTCTATTAATGATAATGGAGAGGCCCCTTTACTATTCTATTTAAATAGGCTATTCTATTTGTATGGATGTGCAATAGGTGTCTATTCAATCCTTGTTTGTTTATTTGTTTGTTGTTCTTTTCTTTACGGTGGGTTGGAGGAGTTTGATAGTTGAGGTTCATACCTTGGAAGTCATTTGTTCAAATATCATCTCCACAACATTCTATTTTATTTTGATAATAAAAGCAAGTTTAATTCTGTCAATTAACTATTAATTAACAATTGTCTTTTTTGATAGGAGGTTTTACCTCAGATGATTGTTAATAGTACTCTTATAGACAAATGCATCATAATTCAAAAAGCACTATATGCTTGAAGTTTGTTATTTTCTTTATTTTCTGAAGATTTGTCTCTATTTGCTTTGATATACTGTTTACATGCTAAGTGTTTAGGTAGTCTCTTGGGAGCACAAAGAACTTTTCCCTCGTAAAGATTTATACACTTTAATCTTTTTAGTTGGGTGTGTGGTAAATGCTAGCTAAGAATGAGATTGAGATTTGAAACCTACCTTTTTGAATATTGATGCTATATCCTTCCCTTTTTTTTTTTCCTTTTTCTTTTTGATATTGAAGCTTTTGTACCTTATGTAGCTTTGAGCTGTGAATTTGACATTTTCTTCATCCATGCCTCATTGATTTGTCTGTTATTGCATTTGGTTCAATAACACTAGACTCTTTGAACTCGTGGTGCAGAGACAATTTCCTTTTTTAATTACTCATAACAAAGATTATTTTATAGTCAAAGGTCCAACTAGTGTTTATGATTGCTGATTGTCTTGAATCTCAATATCTCTTCTATTCTTAAGGTTGTTTCTGTTGTATTTTTTGTTTCTTTATGGTGTCAGTTTTATAAATGACTATGCATATAGCAGGATCAACATCATAAATGTTGGTAATTATTATGTTGTAAACTTTTTATTTTTTATTTGGTAATTTCGCATGTTATCCCCTCCATTTTGATTTTTCCTGTCAGATTGTCAGCAGCTTTGCTTGTTTGCTCTTGCTGACTTAACAGGTATACTCTTTTCTAATTCCCAATTCATAAAGCAATGCAAACCTAAGTTATAACACTGGTAATATGTTTGTATAACTGTTCTATTAGATATGGTATCTTAGTTCCTTGTTCTGTAACTTGAAAACATTGTTAAAAGGTGTCAGCTTTGTCTTATCTTCTTTTGCATTTTTGTGACATAAGATTAGCCTTGCTTGTTTTGGTGTTTTGTTCTATGGTTTTGGTGAAGACTACTTATATATGATCTGCTATAGGAGTTTGCATGATGCTACAAGTACTTTTTCTATTTTCCATTTTAGAAAGCAGCCAGTGAAAGGCCAAACATTGAAAATCCATTATTTTATCTGTTAGAACTTTCAGTTTCTTTGGCTTTGTATAATTTCTTTAATGTGTTTATTCAGATGTAGGCTATAATTGTTGAATTTGTACACTGAAAGATTTTTGTAACAAGTTCTGTTTTATCTTGTTTGCTTATTTGGATACTTTTGATGTATGCGAGGATGTTGAACATTTGTTATGACAAGTAATGAGCTTGTCATGGACACTTAGATGTGATATCTTTCATTCTAGTAATGTTCTTCTAACTAGCCATAGTTTTTTTCAATATGTTATTGTATTATTACATTCTTTACCCTTTTCCTTTTAAGAGACCTGAAAGATAAAATGGTTTCAAACTTATTGAATAATTTGGAGTTGAGCCCTGGTGTTGGGCAGTTTTGGATCCATTTTCTTGTTATTTAAGATTTTGGAACCAGGGAAATTTTTAGCGGGTGTCTAAGTGAATGTTTAACTTTTTTTCCATGCCTTGTTTGTAGTTCTTGTTGTCTGTTTAATAATTAAAGCTACTCCACTTTTCTGTTTTCTCATTGTTGTCCGACATTGTGGGAGAATATTATGTGCTTAGTTTGTCAGTTCATTGTTAAACAGTTTGGTTTGGTTCTCAACAAATCTCTTCAATTTTTTATTCAAGTGAGAATCTGTTGTTTGAGACTGTAATTTGGTAACATTCTTTTCCACTTTTCCTGATTTGTGCCAAACTAGTTCAAAGTAGGGTTTGTAATCCCAATTTACCTAACCTTTTTTATTTACTGATGATTGTTATGATATACAAAGATGGCTTACTCTTTCCAAGTGCTAGGAGTGATCGGTTCCGAGTACCTTGCATTTTTTTAAGGAATCGGAACCAGATTTGGCCTGTGGGAAAATTTTATTACCCCTAAGTTTTTGAAAAATGACAAATACACTACCAAAAAAATTACAAATATACCCCTAATAGTTTACAAAAATTATAATTTAGTCTCGGTTCTTATCTGGGTACCCAGACCTTGATTCCAGTCCCGGTTCCCGGTTCCAACACTGTAAGAATTGGAACTGGACTGGGTAATTCCTAGTTCTAATTTTCCAGAATCGGAACCGAATCTTAATGGGGCCGATTTCAGTTCCTACTCAGAACCGGCGGATGGATACCTGCAAGTTCCAGTTCTACCCTTTACCTATGCTCACCCTTACCAAGTGCCATGTATATTTCTTTTATTTAGGTATGTGATCTATGAGGTAAAGGTAGGTGTAAATGTGGCATGAGTAAATGATGGCTCGAATGCATGCTAGCCACCTGAGCCTAGATTGACTGTTAAGAATATATAGAATAAAGCCCATCCAACTTATGAGATGCTAACTTGCTGAGTCAGGCCTTAATACCTAAGATAATTAAAAATTTACCTCAAACTTTATGAAAACTTAGTGGGAGACTTTATGACTGGCTGATAGTGCTCCATAATTTGTTTCCAGAACAAAGAGAAGTTGTTTTCTTGCTAGTGTATGCATTGAACACCAACTCATACCAGTCTGCAAGGGTTGCCCGATGTTTTTGCCAGCGTTATTGTTGTATTTGGGTAATGCTGATCATTTGTATACGTTTTTATACATTGCATCAACTTAGTATTTTTCCTGTGAATTAACTTACTATTTGGGTCGCTGCTGCTGAAAAAGTGATCGAAACTGATGGTAAACAAAGTTTAGTTTGAACTACCATGCATCATTAGAATAGCAGCTAATGGGAGATAAGGGTTACACAGCTAGATTAGTAGTCGGTGTGTGGTTCAGATGGAGATAGTAGGATAGTAAGTTATATACTTAACTTTCTTTCTTTACACATTTATTTTGAGAAAAGGCAAAGGCCTTTATCAGACAGCAAATTATGGGAGTTAATGGAAAAAAGTCATGTCAAATTTCACATCTCACCCTAACACAATCTGAGAGACTTAAAAATTGTAGTTTTAATTATAAACTGAAAGTCTGAATTGATTCTACATTGAATTCTTTAACAGAAACCAAGCTCACAAGATTGAAGGGCTTGGTGAGTTTGTCATTCTCCTTTAAGCTAAATGAAGATGGAAGGCTTAAGCTAAACAGCTAGCTGCTGCAGCCACACAAGTTCAGAAACAACTTGTGCCAAAATACAAAGTTTTGTAATTGTTTCTTAAGAAATTTCACTTTGTATACAAGCAAATAAAGCAAAACTAATTAAAACTTATCAATAAGAATTCAAACTCACAATGCCACAATTCTAAACATTTTCTTTTGGGGGCTGGAGGCACAAACTAGTTCTGCCTCACCAGAAAGTTTTAATTACAGTACTACTAGTTCCTAAAGCCAGAGACAAAAGAGATATAGTATCATTGTTCTAATTATAATAAAAAAATTTCTTGCTGTCTCTATCTCTCTAGGCTGGAAGTCTTTAGTTGTCACCAATGTTTGTTGAAATTATTCATGGTCTTGAGTGTATCAAATGTTTGTTTCAAGTCATATGATTTTAGGGTTTTCTTTCTCATATTTTATTAGTTTCATAAAGTTTTCCTAAAGATATTCAGAACATTTATGTAGGAAATTGATCACTTTTAGAGAAGTACTTATACATATGAAATCTGTTATGGAGAGCTCTTCTTGGAAAATGGGTGAAGTTCTTAATGATTATTTTCAGTTTTTTGTTGCTTAATATTTTATTGAATTACTGTTGTTTGGTAAAGATTGAATAATCTATGCATGTTCATCATTCCTTTTTTATCACATTAGTTTTCAGTTTTGAGACTTGCATCCCAGTTCATATGATGTATATAAAGGCACCTATCTTCTGTGGGTTTATTAAAGGATTGTGAAAATAAATCATCTTGTTGAGTGGACCTATTTCTCTCAGATAGTTGGATTTTTGCAACACTAGTACTTGAAGATGGCTGCAAATGCATGTGGAACATTTTGATTCTTGATCTTTTTATTTTTTTCTTATACTTTTTCGTTTTGCTCTGTCTGAAGCATTTTTCTTTTATTTATTTTTTTGCAACCAGTTTTGTGCTATGACTGAATACCTAATCAATATCTAGTTGCTTTGCTTGAATATTGCATGCTAGTGTACTGTTAGAGTTTTCACTTACACCTTAACTCTAAATAGATACTCAAACAACTATGTCTTGCCAGTTTTGTGTGGGTACAACTGTATGTATACTGTTCCATTGTTCTTTAGAAGGATTGTAGGTGCATATGGTCTATAGGCATGCATAAATCTAGAACTAGGCATCTGTGAAGAGTCAAAAGACATGGGGAGAGAAAATAATTCTCATATGTTGTCAATATAACAATTTAGTTTTAACAATTTAGTTTTCTTTATTTGTGTCATGTGATATAATTACCATTCCTATTTCCTTGATGCATCTGACTTTTTTTATGTTTTAACTAATGTTGTGTCATTCACGCAATTCCTCTTCTATTGTTGCTTTTCGACAAGTGATTAAAGAATCCGTGAATTATAGGTGAAGACTTCTGGACACAGTCCTTGTTTCTTCTTTTTGGTTGATGTATCCTTCTTTTCTCTTTTTCCCGTGTTTTCTTTGTTTATGTAATTCTTTACTGGATCTTTTGGAATATGGGGATTTGGTTAGTTCTTACACAATGCTAGACAAGCAATATTGATGTATTGCATAGTGGATTTTTGGTTCTTTTAATCATTTAAATTCTTCTACTCTTTTTGATTATGTTCATTTGGTTTGCTCATTGAATGCTTGATTGTATGTGGTGGTAAGCATGAAATATGATTTGTGGAGTACAACTGGGAGAACCTTGTAACATTAAATTGTGATTGAGCCATGGGGAAGTGCAGACTTTTGGTACACCTTGAACACTAGTTGTACAGCTACTATTATTACCTCTGTTTGAACTTGTCGATTTGATGTTTATATTGTTCTTGAACTTTATGACAATTTCCTTCATCTTTTGCGTTTTTAAAAAAACAATACTTGATCCATTTTTATGATATTGCTTTCAGGTTTGTGTTGAGAGTCTTGGCAAAAGGCAAGCTGCGAATGATGTTGAGGTTTGAGGTTCTCCTCTTTCGAAAGCCTTTGATGTTCTTGGAAATGCTACAAAGGTATTGCTTGCCTTGAAGTTATTATTATTTTTTTTTTTTCACCTGAAACTTTCTTAGTTGAAGTAAAATTTGATCTCTCAAATGCGGCAGTTTTCGTAAAAATTATGTTAGCTTTTGCTGTAGAAGTTATTCAATTTTCTTGGGGATAATTTGCTTTCTGCCTTTTTCTTAGAGGTATCTTCTATCGCCAAACATTCTCCAATGATGAAGATGCTACCTATCCTGATAAGAGGTCTCGTAGGTATAGTTGGAATAATATCTTTTTCGAACCTATTCTTACAAAGATTTACGAATTTCCAAATCATGATTCAACATTGTACTCTGTTTTTAGGGTTTGACATTGTATTAAATTTCTAGATAAAAGGTAATTTGGAGCCAGATGATAGTCCATACAATGTTTCTGGATTAGGTTTAACAAGGACTCACCAGGTTGTTGGTTATTGAACTTGGGGCTCAAAAGATGCAGCCTCTGAATGTAGTTAGTATTTTGATATTCATCTTAACGATGGCTTTTTAGTGATTGTCCTGGAGTAGCTATGTTGAAGTGCAAGCTTTTGATACAACTAAACTAGTGGTAAGGTTACTAATATACCTTTTTTCGGTCTTCTTAACAAACTAATGTTTATTATGTTGAATTGTATGGCATACTCTAATAGCACTACACATCAATGTTATATCTGCATTTCTTTAATTTTGTGCAATTTTCGTTCTACTATCATAAACCTTGATATAGACTTGAAGTTTTTTTTTTTGTCAGAAGAATTGTTTGAAGTATCTGTGATGGGATTTATCTCAATGATGATTATTGATATGTATTATTGATATGTAATTGGGAAAGAGTTATCTCAATAATGATTATGAATAAGTAATCTTCCCAGGCTGATTCTTTTTAATTTACATGCAGTTGTAGCATTGTAGTTTTTCATGCTTCCGCTGATGCTTGACCAATGTAATTTTAATTTCTTTTTTGGAGGATTTCATGTAATCATTGGTTTTTTGTTGGATTCCTCCATGCTTTTAGTTATGGGCATTATAAATCAATTATTTAGTTTCCCCTAATGATCTAAATTGCCTAATATCGTTTGAGGATTGCTTTCCTTTTCTTGAACAAGAATTTGGTACATGGGGTGTTGGCTTGGAAGTCTTGCGGATGGGATGGACGTCACAAAATTCACCCACTTCTAGTAGATATGTTGTTGTACACTTAGGCTTATGTGTTTATCATTAAAAAGCATGTAAATTCTCAGTGTTTTTTTTTTTTTTGATTGATGTGTTCAATTTTCGTTGTCTCTATCTCTCTAGGCTGGAAGTCTTCAGTCACCACCAAGTCTGTTGAAATTATTCATGGTCGTGAGTGTATCAAATGTTTGTATCAGGTCACATGATTTTAGGATTTTCTTTATCATATTCTATTAGTTTCGTAAAGTTTTCCTACAGATATTTGGAATATTTATGCAGGAAATTGATCATTTTTAGAGAAGCACTTATACTTATGAAATCCCTTACGGAGAGCTCTTCTTGGAGAATGAGTGAAGTACTCAACAATTATTCTCAGTTTTTTGTTAGCTTAATATTTTATTGAATTACTGTTGTTTGGTATAGATTGAATAATCTATGTGAAATCAGGAAGAAAACACCTGATAATTTTTATTATTGTATTCTACTTTAGCATAGGTTACAATAGTCTAGTTATATAGACTTTATTAGGATATCTTGATAACTCTTAGGTCCAGGATTACTCCTTTATTTAAACAGATAAAATTAAGATAAATCCTAAGTTTAAAGAACCCTTACTATGCTTATCAAGAACTTCTACATTTCCCCTCAAGCTGGTGAGAAAAAAATTAGCATTCATAACTTCGAAACTAGATTGTTGAAACTCTGTCTAAACAATCCTTTTGTAAGAATGTCCACAGTCTGTTGGCTCATAGGTAGATAGATAACACAGAGCAGCTTGTCGTCAATCTTCTCTTTAATAAAGTGTCTAGCAATCTCCATATGCTTGATTTTATCATGATGTATTGGATTATGCGCAATCCCAATCGCCTTGTTATCACAGTAGAGCTTCATAGGATATTCACTCTTGATTCTTAGTTCTGCCAAGAGTCTTTTTAACTATATCAGTTCACAAATACCTTGTGCCATTGCCTGAAATTCAGCTTTTACACAACTCCTTGCAACCACAGTTTGCTTCTTGCTTCTCAAAGTCACCAAATTTCCCCAAACGAAGGTACAATACCTTGAAGTTAACCTTCTATCACTCACTGAACCTACCTAGTTTGCATCCGTGAATGCTTCCACCTTTCTTTCATTGGTTTTCTCAAAAAAAAGTCCTTTCCCAAGTGTCATCTTCAGGTACCTTAATATTCTAATTACAACTTTAAGATGCTTCTCCTGTGGGTTATGCATGTGTTGGCTTTATACACTTACAGAGAAGGCTATGTCAAGGCTTGTATGAGCCAAGTATATCAACCTCCCAACCAGTCATTGATACCTGCCTTTTTCAATTGGTGTATCTCCCCTGTCATGGTCAAACTTCACATTTGGCTGTGTAGGAGTCTCAGTAGGCCTACACCCTAACATTCCAGTATCTTTTAACAGATTCAAAACATATTTTCTTTGAGAAACAGAGATTCCCTTCTTACTCCTGGCAACTTCCATCCCTAAAAAAATATCTCAACTATCCTAGATCCTTTATCTCAAAGTCCTTGGCAAAACCTTTTGTACCGTCTCCATTTCTTCCAAATTGTTTCATGTTAAAATAATATCATCTACATATACTATTAAGACAGTAATCTTACCCTCATTATTCTTGAAAAACAAAGTGTGACCAGTCTGACCTTGTGTGAACCCATAACTTCTAATAGCCATGGTAAATTTTTCAAAGCAAGCCTTAGGAGACTGTTTCAAACCACACAAGGATTTCTTTAGCTTACAAACCTTCCTCCCTATCTGATTACCTTCAAAACTTGGTGGCAACTCCATATACACATCTTCTGCCAGGTCACCATTCAAGAAAACATTTTTTACATCCAGTTGTTGCAAGGGCCAGTCTAAGTTTGCAGCTAAGGAAAAGAGAACTTGAATATTATTCAGCTTGGTTACGGGGGCGAAGGTTTCTTGGTAATCTACTTCATTGGTCTGTGTGAGTCCCTTAGCTACCAACCTTGCCTTGTATCTCTCAACTGAACCATCTGCCTCATATTATACTGTAAACACCCATTTACAGCCCACAATAGCCTTCCTCTCAGGTAAGCTCACCAATTCCCGTGTTCCATTTTTTTCGAGGGCCTTCATCTCTTCCATTATAGCTTCTCTCCATTTAGGATCATCTAATACTTCCTGTATTGTTTTAGGAACCTTTGTGTTTGAGAGATTAGTAGCAAATACTCAAAAATCAGCAAATAGATTGTCACAGGACACAAAATGCGAAATAGGATGTAGAGTACAAGACTTAACCCATTTCCTAAGAGCTATAGGAAGATCAACATTTGACTCAGACTCACTAGGAAGCAAAATTTTCTTACATGAAGGTTGTGATTCATTGACTTCTTTTAGTTGGGATGATTCGCCATGCAGATCGTCAAAAGGATTCTCACTGTCTTGATAACCAAGTTTCCGAGAATAAACTTTAAGGACTGGTTGATTTAGCCTAGTCAAACCTCCCCCTGTCTTCATGTGTTCCTAAGTCAAAGTGTCAAAATTCTCTTCTGTTGTAGGGTTTTAAACATTTTATGTTCTGATGGAATTAGGTCTGATGGAATTAGGACTGGTAAGAGGTTGGATTTGAGCTAAAGGTGAGTTCTGATTCAGAGGTCTCAGAGTGGATGTAGGATTTTGAGTAGATGTAAGAGTCTGACTTGCGGGAAATGTTATTTCCCAAACACTATCTTCATTATCAATTTGTGAGTTCTCCCCCTGAAGAGAGGGTTTCGGAAAATAAGGTTGTGACTCAAGAAAGGTCACATCTTTAGCTACAAACAATTTCTTCCTTACAGGGTAGTAATACTTATATCCTTGTTGAGTGGGAGAGTACCCTAAAAACACAGTTAATGGCACTAGGATCTAACTTGCCTTTGTTATCAGAGTGAACATGAACATAGGTAGTAGACTCAAAAACTTTCAAAGGTAGAGAGTTTAAGGCTCTACAATCTAGAAATGTTTGAAGAAACGTGGAAAGAAGAGTACAAAACTCTAAAATCTTAGTAGGCAATCGATTTATCAACTAAGTTGCTGTTAGGACTGCCTCTTCCCACAAATAATTAGGCACATTCATGGTGAACATAAGTGCTCGGAAACCTCTAAAAGGTGCCTATTTTTCCTTTCTGTAATACCGTTCTGCTGTTGGGTATCTACACAATAACTTTGGTGTATTATTCCATGACTGAATAGATAGTTTCCTAGGCTACAAAATACTCCCTACCATTATCTGTTCTTAGGACTTGAATATGTGTGTGAAACAGATTCTTAACAATGGAATGGAAATTCTGGAAGACTCTACCTGTTTCAGATTTTTATTTCATAAGGTAAACCCAACATAGTCTAATGTGATCATCAATGAAAATAATAAACCATTTTGATCTAGCAATATTTTAAAACTCTAGATGGTTCCCAAATATCACTATGAATTATAGAAAATGGCCTAGAACTCTTGTATTGTTTAACTGGAAACACTGATCTGGTATGTTTTGCAATTTGGCAGATTTTACACTCAAATAACACAAGAAACAATCCTTATAAATAAGGGAAACTAGGGTAACCTAATCGGTGATGCCACAACATTATTTCTAAACTACCAAACATAGAGACAAAATTACACCTAGATGTTATAGCTTGATTATTCTCAAAATCCTTGGCATCAAAATAATAGAGTCCTTCTTCTCTAGCATTTCCAATCATCCTGCCTAAGAGAGAGTCCTGAAATTCACAATGAGAAGAAGAAAAATTAACCACACGCTTTAAGTCCTTAGTCAATTTGCTAATAGAGAAGAGATTACAAGCCAGATTAGGCACATGAAGGACATATTATAGACAAAGATTTTTAGACAGTTTGACCACCTTTTACCAGCTACTTTTGACAAAGAATAATTAGCTATTTTAACCCTTAGATTACCATAACATGGGTCGTAGGATACGAACACACTTGAGTTACTTGACATATGATCCGAGGCCCCTGAATCTATAACCCAAGAACTGGTTGTTCTTACACTGGTATGCAAAGCTGTGAGGGAATTACCAGTCTCATTAAATGAACAAAAGCGATCAAAGGAACCAGAATTGGACTAATTGAATAATTCTTGTAAGTTTTCCAACTGTTCTTTGCTGAATGGTACAGACCTTGGATGATCTCTAGATTCTTCTATCCCAGCATGAATCCCTTACCTCCAGCCTTATTAATCTTCCAATTGGTTGGCTTGTCATGTAGTTTCCAGCTAGTAGCCTTGGTATGCTTTCGCCGATGACAATACTCACATTGGATTTTCTCTTTTTCTCCTCTTTTTTGCATCCTTTGCTCTCCATC